CTGAATTAATCCCCTCTAAATTAGCCCCCAAATATGCTCTCTTCAATTAGGAAGCATCTCCTAATTAATTTCTTTGGATTAAGAATCTTCCTAAACAACTCCCTCTTTGTTTGAAGATTTCCTAATCCCTCCCAATCAAATCGACCGGTCCAGTATTATTTCACCAATTTCTCGCCCATCGTTGTTTCTAGTTGCTAAAATTCAATTTCCACAAGGTCTCCCACTTTCTCTCAAACGTTTCCTAGCAAAGTCATAATTAAGCAAGCTAAGCTGATGATCCGTGGTAACACTAGGGTGAATGATCATGTCATGAGATGATTCTTTTTTTGCTTTCAAATTTTTACTTATTTTATCAATTAATTATGAATTATTTAACTAGTGATATTGGCAAAAAATATATACTGTCATCATAATAATTGGCGCTGCCCTTACTGTTGCACAAATATATGTCATACCAAATGTTCTACTTAGTTAAATGACCAAATATGATGTATGCAGTTTAATCCTTGATAGCAACGTATTCCTTTGGCTAGAATTTCTATTGTATATTGTATGTGTAGTTTAGGAGGTAAAATTTGTACTTTTTTGATTAAAGACATTGGCAATGTTATTCGATCTAATTTTAGAAATGAGTTGGGTACCTGTTAGTTGATCAAGTGAGACGAAGCCATATTATAGGCCTCCCAAGCATGCATTGGTAAACATGCTTGGGTGAGTGCCTTGCCTTTAAGCGCTACTCAATGAGGCTCATGCCTTGATCGATTTGAGATGGATGATAGTACTTTTAATGCTTAAATAGAGTTAGTTTTAATGATGTTAGTTTGACATTTGGTTTAAGATGCGTTGATAATGTTATTTGACCTAGTTTTGTTTTAAATGATCTTGAGCGCTTGTTAGTTGCTCGAGCGAGACGAGGTCATAAAGCTTTATATACCTACCTAGCTTGTGTCATTACCAAAGCTTGCTTGGGTGGGTGCCTTGCCTTGAGGCCCTTAGGCGGTGAGGTTTGTGTCTTATCTAGATTTGAAATAGATGCTAATACTTTTAATGCTTAAATTGGGTTAGTTTTAATGATGATAATTTGACATTGGATGATGAGAATCAAAAGCATTATGAGTTGTACAAACAGGCACACCCCTTGTAGTAAACAAGTTTTGATGAAATGCAGGTGTAAAAAATAATTTGAATGGTAATTTTTGGATATGATGATAAATCTAGTAGAAAGATGAACAGGCAATTGATAGGGGATAAAACATGGATGGTTTAGGTGAAATATGTGGTTATGACGTTATATTGTTTTAAAATTTATATTATCCTTTATCTATGCTTTGCTATTTGGTTAATTTTATTTATTTAAATCATTCTATTTAGTATGATTTTGAACATAAAATGCAATAGAATTTGAAAATTCACTATTTTACAAGAAAGTAGTTGTAATGTGCTGATTTTTATTTTATGCACTTCCAAAGTTTTCCTCACATTTAAGTATATTTATAAGTGATTATAATTTCATTTTTAATGCTTTAGTTTGCTTGGGCTATCACCCATTCTGCGACCTAGCTTCTTCAGTGTTGGGTAGTCATTTTGACGGGAGTGCATCTTATGCTCATGAAATCTAGTTAGATGACCTCCTTTATTTATGCTAAGAGATGCAACTCCTTTTGGAGGAGTGCCTGGCCTATATCGGCTCCAAATTGATTATTTGATTGACAAAAAATCAAATAATCAATTTTACTTGTAAAGTTGGTAACATTCCTCCTAAAATTTGAATATCTTAATGTCAAATTATCTAAAATTTTGAAATTCACATTTTCAAATATAATTACAACCACATATAAAAATCGCACACACACACATATATATATATATATATATATATATATATATATATATAGTCTATCATCACAATTATCACGCACAAAAAAATATAAATACTGAATAAATGCCTTCATAAGTTTCATGTCCTAGTGCCTTGCCTGTAAGCCGCTACATTTTTGCTTTGGTGTCTATTAGTTGGTCTTTTTTTTTTCTTTGACGGGCATCATGTGACACATCATAAACCTTATGCAATTCTGAAGAAAACTAGCGCAATTTTTTATTCTATCTTTGCAAGTTTAGAGCCTTGTTGCCAATGTTTTTCTTTAGATAGTATCAGTTTACTGGAGCTGTTGTTTGTTTATCTTGGTAACTATATTAATGGTTTAATAAATTCATTTCCTTTCATTGATGTCTTTTAACAAATGGTTGGCCTAAAAGCAATCCGCGAAGCAAAGTGGTCTATTTTTGCTTCACGCATGTTAAATCTTACTGTGTTGTAACATTTTACGTAGTTTACTAGCTTGGATTGCGCCTTTGATGCATGTTAAAGAGTTCAATCTGCTACTTGGTTTTGGACTAGAAAAAGGTAGAGCATGATGAGCGGGGCTTGGAATAGGGAAATTGCTTTTCACTTCTCTGCCTTGCCAGGCATTGCTTGCTGCATGAAAGGACTTGACCAGTTCTGGCCCAAAGGTTTCATAAAGGTTTGAATGTCTTGCTGGTGGAAGAAATCCTAGAGACCTCTTTTCTGTAAGAATTTTTGCGTGATTAAATTGAATTTAGGAATTCGGTTCTCGAATTGACTATATGAAGGATGGAAAATTCATGCAACAGTGAGAGACTCTTATTTCCCCTTCATATTTTCTCATTAATTTTTCATTTCCTTTGTTTTTAATTATATGGAAAATTCACGCCAATTGCCAGTTATGCCAATCAATGGTATATACCTGGTGAGGTTTTACAACTCTTTATTTTCCAGCTGATAGGTGCTAAATTGTTGTATCTTTTATTTTTTAATAGTTATATATTTTATAGTCTGACACATGTAAATATCTAGGAATGTGTAGATTAATTACAATAAGAAGTAATTAACTGGATGATTTAGATGGCACGTTAGTGTTAAGGTCCAGATTATTGAATAAATTTGAAGAGCACTGTGAGATGAGGTTGGCCTTTTTTTAATTTTGTGCAGAAATCAAAGCTATACTTAATATATTAATATTCTCGTAACTTCTTATCATTTGTTCTTATGTTTTATATGCGCAATATCCATTTTATTAGTTAAATATAAACAGTATTTGATAACAATTTTTAAGCAAAGAGAAGAAGGCATGCAATATCAAAATAATGTGTTAGCTTTGCATATTTGAATGATTGATGCTGGTTTATTAAGAAAGTAATGTCAGGAGATGGCAATATTTGTTAAATATCTTATTATGCGATATTTTACTTATTGCCATAAATGAAAGTATTTATCTCTTTATTTGTTTCTCTGTTTTATTCTCTCTATTGCCTATTTATACGCACCTATATTCAATCAATAATATACACCAAAAAGATTCTCCTCAACATGATAACAAAGCGCATTTAAGCCCTAGCCTTCATTCCCCTTCTGCCTCTCTCTCTTCCGTTGTTCTCCATCCTGTCTTTCTCCCTCCACCTGTTCTTGTGTTCTGGTGTTACCACTGTTTTGAAAGCCGGACCGGACTGGCTGGTTCAACCGGTTCAACCGTGAACCGGTCTGGTGGCCGGTCCGATCCAGCTTCAAAACCGGCTCTACATAGAACCGGATCAAACCAGATTGAACCGGCGGTTCAACCGGTGAACCGTTGAACCGGTTAGGGTTGGAAAGAACCGGCCAGTTTATAAAAAATATTTTATTTTTGCTTTAATTAAAATTTTAAATATATATTTTAGTTTATTAAATTTTTAACTCCTTCAAAATATTTTACTTCAAATTTGAGTGATCAATTCACCATAATACATGCAGTTTCATTCTTCACACTATCTCACATAATTTTTTTTGTACAAGCATCCACTGCTACTTCCATTTTATAAAGGGTCATGAAGCATCTTCAACTCCCCTAAATGATGCGGGACTACCATAAAAAGTTTGCATAATTGTATGCAAGTTTGGTTCGAATGTGAATTTGGGCTTATTTTGGGCTAGATGAGCATCAAATTTTTGCTTATTGCTACCAAATTATGATGATATCTAACTATAGAATTACTATAATAATATTCTTAATAATCTTTTTTATTAATAAGATATTAATATTAATAAATTTAGGTATATTAATTAATTTACTATTCCTATATAACTACTACTTTAATTATACATATAAACATATTATTTTTCAAATGACATTTCACTATTACGAATTCTTATATTTCAATAATTCTTAAACTTTACCAAATAATTAATAAATGGTCCATAATTTTAATTAATTTATATATTATATTAAGTATTATTCTTATAAATATATTATTATTAAATGATATTTATACGTATAAAATTTTATTATATATTTTAAAGTTTTATAAATATTATTAAATGCTCATATAATTATATTATATGAATTTTATTTTATTAATTTTTAATAATAATATTATTTATTACATCATCCAGTTCGACCCCGGTTCGACCGGTCGAACTGTGAACCTCTCTCTCTTCCGGTTCTTTGTCCGGTCCGGTTTTCACAACCTTGGGTGTTACTGCTGTCACATTTAGCCTCTCCTTAGGCAAGCAAGCTTACATGCACTTGCCCATGCTTGCTCACTATCCCGAAAAACACACACTTAACTTAACCATGCCCACATATTCTCTTGTATTACACTCAATGAAAATCTTTTCCATATATAATAATTAAACATCTGTTGAATCTTTTACATAATATCTTGATAGATTTCTTGCCTATGAATTAGGCAATGGTAGCCATGATAGAAATACACAAATTTAGGTTATTATTTCTGAGTTTTTGGTTGACTATTATTGATTATGAGCTTCTTCTCAGTTTAATATTCTTTTATTAACTTCTATTGTGCATGGATGAATTTCTATTATGTTGTTTTTTGCATTATATACATTTCTTATGACTCATCTTCTTTTTGTTGACTTTTTTTTGAGGGTTTTTTTGCTTCATAGTGATGCAAATGTAACTGAGTGATAATTTTTTTTTTAGGTGGTTGATTTTGGGGAGATTGGACCCATTAGATGTTCTCGGTGCAAGGGGTATATAAATCCTTTTATGAAATTTGTTGATCAAGGCAAGCGGTTTATATGCAACCTATGTGGTAAGGGTGGAAGTTTTTAATGGATTCATTTTCTGTTATTTTAAGCTATTATCCCTTGATATTCTATTCAAGTTATATATTGACCATGCTTTTCATTAGTTTACGAATTATATTGTATGGATGTATTAATCTAAAAAATTTAATTTAGTTGACTCTCTTGACTAGAAAAACGTTTCTCTGCTTCTAGATTTGTAGATTTCTTTTAGGTAAATAATTTATTTTGGATTGCTATATATTGGAAGATTTGTTAATTCTCTTGTGTGCTGGTATGGTTGCTTTGTCAGTTGGGCTTAAGTTAGTTTGAACCTTTTGCTTTGTTGATTTTTTTGGCGGAAATCCTCCTTTACAATGGCTTGCTTGTGGGACCACCACAAATCTGAGGTGTGGAATGAATAACTTGGCAAAGCATATAAATTTGAATAGAATTTGTGTATGCAAACCTTTGGTATGCAGTGGTGCGGTTGATGATGAGGTGTTCTTGTTACCGCCTTGTGGTTTAAGAGCATCATTTTCATACCGTTTTTCTTAAGCTCATCATTTTATCTTTTTGGTTGTGCAATTTTCTAAATGTAAGTTACTCCTCACCAAAATATTTAAGGTGGATCACGTTTAAGTCTTTGAAATGAAATGTAAGAGGTGCTTCTCATATGTTTACACCTTCATTTTGGTCCTTAGCACCGTTCATGATTACAAATTGTTCCCTGATGTCAAATAGCGATCTAGTCATAAGGATAGATTTAAGAGGGGGTTGGTGGTAAAAAAATTTCTAGTTACACCCTTAGATCTAGATGTAGGAATTCTTTTTGTTCAACAATGTTTTTTTTTTTTTTCTTTGGCTCACATGATGCCTCATGTGATTTTTAAAAGATGCATTTTTTTTTTACAAGAAGTCCCTTTATTGATATGAATCTATGGTCATCATAGACTGACATGTAAAGTATTCGGATGAGTCGAATCAGCTGACAATGAAGGTTTGTACTACATGAACTTGCCAACCCTTGCAAGATATTATTAATTCATCATCAATTCCCGATGACGTAGATGTAGCAATGGCTCATTTGAAATATGAAAGCATCATGAAGGGGGTTGATTTTGTCTCTTTCCTTCCACTGCATGGTAATTTGGTTCTATGGGCCTTCTGTCCGGCAATTTTTAATTCACCCGAAGATAAATTTTTCCTAGGAAGAAAAGTTCTTTTGTGCTATAAAGGCCTTAAAGGTATCCTATACTAGAAGATATTCTAGTCAGGAGTAGCATGGCTTGGAGTAGAGGAGTCGAGTAACTTTCCCTGGCCAATTTATAGGAGTATGGAAATAGCATATACCTGATTTTGTCAAGTCAGCCTTCATAGGTGTCATAAACTACTTTTTTAATGCGGTGGACAAATATTCTGGTCAGGTGTATAGATGAGTCCTTGCAAATTCACACTACATGAACCTTGAATTTTTTTTTTTAATTTGAAACAAGTCTCACAGTAATTTATTTCATTATTAACTGCTTATTTCTTTTCAAATCGATCCTTCTATGTGCTGATGACTGAGATCACTTCCTTCAAGAGGTCACTAGGGGGGTAACTGGGCTTATTGTGATCCATCTTTAGAAACTATAGTTTAGCGACCACCCACTCTTTCTGTCTTTTTATATAGATATCTTGGTATATCATCTTATCCATACACTTACGTGGAACAACATGTTGCTAATTGCCCTTGTCAAAGCTGGTGTTGGTCTGGTTTCTAAAAAATTCTCTGTACCTAGTACTTATTATGAGCAGTACCCTATATTTGATCAAGGAATGGAAGTTTTTGTGGAGACTTGCAATTTGTATCATATTTACTGCCCCAGTGATATCGGAAGATTTGCTACTAAGATCCACTTGCTTTCTGATTGAGGCCGAGTACCTCTTCAAAGATAATCTTACATTTTTTTTTTCGGTCTTACAAAATCTGTGATAAGGCTGAAGAGCTCTCTCTGGCAAGAGCTTGTTAGTTTGAGAGGGGGATTTCCCATTTTTTCTTCATTTGGCTGGCGCTTCTTCATGAAATTGACGGCTGATTTGATGAGTTTGCCTCATGGCAAGCATGCGTCACTTTTTTTTCCTGCTTTTTTGTATCAATTCATGTTGCTGGCATAACAAAAATAACTTGAGATAGAGGGCAAGGGCTTTGACCGAGTTAGGAAGAAGGAGAAGGAATAGATTGGCTATTTTGACTTTTTACATCATTACATGTTAATAGTAAAAAAATGCAAGTGCATTAAATGCAAGCGATCAATATTTTATTTCAATAAGTAAAATTTATTTTAAATTGAATGTTATGTTATAGTATATTTTTTGAATGGTTAAATTTCTCATTTTTAATTTATATTGAATGAAAAATTGCTCATTTTAACTGATGTTAAATGGACATTAATACAATTGAATTTTGTTTTTTAGTAAGCAATTGTTTTTATAGCTTCAAAAATGGCAATTTTAGATGTGAAATGGTTCATTTTTATTAAATTGAGATATTGAATCTTAAAAGTAACTTGCATATTAGTGCAAATCAACAGCTATTTGATATTAAATGATGGGAAATCAATATTCCGCATGCATGTTGGAAGATGCTCATTTATATTAATTAAAATATTGAATTTAAAAAACAGCATCCATTTAATTTGTAAATCAACAATTATAAGTTAAATATAAAAAAAATATAAATTCGTAATGATAATAGCCTTTGACAAGTTAAATACAAGCCTTAAAATGTAATGTTTATTCATTTCTCTAAACTTCAAAATTATGTTTAATTTTAAACTTATCAATGAAATAGAATTGCCTTTAAAGGATAAAATAATAGTATGTGAAATTTTTATCTTTATAAAAAACTTGTGGAAATTTCAAATTTATAAATTGAGGATAATCAAAGTCTAAATCATTTAAATTAAAGATTGTTATTGTGTGTGTGTATATATATATAGCTTTTGAACTTAGTAAGGAGAATTTTAATATTCCTTAAAAATAAGATAAATGTACGTTAAATTGAAATTGTTCATCTTCTTAGAATCTTGTGTGTCCTCATTAAGTATTATGGGTAGATATATGATTTAAATATTATAAGATCTAAAATTGATGAATGTTGATTATTTTTATGGGAGGAGTGTCAGTTGTCTTTTTAATAATTGTATAGATTCATGGTTCTGTCATGTGAAAGACCTTTTTGACTAGCTTTTATGTCTCTAATGGAAATGGAATATTTAAGAAGTCTGAACTTATGTGGAGCGCTCCATCTAAACAACATTTAGTTTTTGCAGTCTGTGCTCATAAAAAAATGCAATCAATTCTGAATTTTTTTTTCTCCTCTGCATATTCTTTTTTAGTTTGGTCCTTTGTATTGCTTGCTAATTATCTTTTCTAATTAATTCATTTGTGTGATCTTATATTATTTTATGTATTTTCTTGTTAATAAAACTTTGTAGGGTATAGTAATGAGACTCCTCGAGATTACTATATGAATCTTGGACCAGATGGTAGACGGCGAGATGCTGAAGAGAGGCCTGAATTATGTAGAGGAACAGTTGAATTTGTTGCTACTAAGGAATACATGGTCTGTTATCTTACGCCCTTAAATATTGTGGAGTATTTGTCTAATTTGTTAATCTTTTTCTTTCATGAGGCAGTTTGTAAAGTGTCATATATAAAAAATATTTCAATTTCACATGTCTCTGCTATTGAAATTCTTTCTCCACTTTTGCATCCATTTTACTTCCCAAAGGGTTTTCAGGTAGAGCAATTGTTCAATTTGTTTCTGCTAAGGAATACATAATTTGTTATCTTAAACCCTTAAAACAGTGTGGAGAATTTGTTTAATTCATTAATCTTTTCTTCCATGATGCATCTTATAAAGTGCTTCTATAAATTAAATTTCATTTTCTTAAAATCTTTTCTGTTGAAATTCTTTTGTCATTTTTTTACATCCCTTCTACTTACGCAGTTCTTTCGTATTATTGACTGCTGATGTTGCTATCTTTTCTGCTGTTTTTTCTGTTGTTTGCAACATAATCTAATCACAGGATTGGCTGTTTATAAATTTGATTTACCATAGCATATGCATTTATAGGTTGCCCATGGTTGTAGGAATTGTATCATTTCTGCCCTGAATAATTTAGTTGGATAACCATTACATTTATGTTAAATGTATAAGATGTTTGGAAGAATTGTATTTTGGTCTCTGAAGCTTTTTATCGAATTTGAACATCCTTGAAACAACATCAAGGTGTTTGGAAATTCATATGTGAAGCATTGTATTTTGTCTGATCTTGCGTGCATGTGCCCATAAATTCTATCACTCTGATCTCATAAATTTATGCCCTCTGAATATTGCTACTAGCTCATTGACCCGTGGCAATGATAATTACATGTCTTTGAAGCACCGGCACAGTAGAGTAATTTTATGAATTTTTTTCAGATGTGAAAGGACAGTAAATGTTAAACCCACCCACATTTTAACTCCCAAAATTTTTATCCTCACTTGCTACGTAAGCACTGGAATTTGTGGAATTTTAATCTTTAAGCTGTTTCTTGTGGCAAGTAAGCAAGCATATAATGGCTAACATATTACTAATTTCTTGACCCCTTGCCATTGAACCATGTAGTATGCGCTCCCTCTATTTTTTTTGGGTTTTCTGTGTGCTTGTGACTCAGCAATATACTTATGACGTTAATGCATGATATTATGTGCTTCTTATAATTTTGAAAAAGCTTATTGCCATTCCTTTCCAGCTAAGGAATCTGTTTGTATTTTTTTGCCCAGGTTCGTGATCCTATGCCAGCAGTGTTTTTCTTCCTTGTTGATGTCTCAATGAATTCCATACGGACTGGTGCAACTGCAGCAGCTTGCGGTGCAATCAGTCAGGCTATTGCAGATCTTCCGGTAAATTGAAAATTTTTCTGCTCATTAATGCATAAATAGAACTTCTGGTCGTCCATACTGCATGAAATATTATCCACGATCTGGACTATTGTTGCAATGCATTGAATGTTTCATTTACTCTATTAAATGAACGATCTGATTTTTTAATACAATGGAAAATGCTTATTATCGTGTTAAATTCTTGGAAGCCAATTAATGTTGTTGCTCCTTACCATCTTTTGATGTTGGGCAGTCTTGAAAAAATAAAAAAAAGTGATAAAGAAGATGAAAATTACCTAAATATTAAGAAAATTTTAAAAATAAGAAAGACTCACAGCTTAACAAGGAGATTTCTTCTCCCGGATTTATTTTTTGTCTCACAGCTAATCATGATCAAGTTTTGAAATAGATGGTGCGTAACCTCATCCACGATAACAATAATAATTGTACTTTTGGTTTGCAGTCTTACCTGATTCGCAATTTTCTTATTTATATATAGAGGAAATGACAAAATACTAGATAACTGTTCAAAAACAATTAACAAATTGCCACTAATTTACTAATAAATTACTGACCAATTTAAGGGCATTTACTAGAATAATCCCATTAAAGTATTGAAATCTAAAATATTTAATATCACTCAAATATCTATTGCGAATTAAAAAAAATATATAATTTATATCAACATCTATTCACTTGACTTAAAACATTCGACTTCGAAGACCGGTATTGATAATACATGAAATAAATATCACGCTCCATTAGCTATGGATCATCTATGATAATAATGAAATATTATAAAATTTACTTTAAATATGCATTTACAATATGATTAGGGAGGGAGTGCTAACGTAATACTTATTGAAGATAAGATATTGGAATATATATTTAGGTAGTTAGGTGTATACAATATTTATTAGAAGGTGAATATAAAGGCTTAAAGTGATGTGAAAGAATTAGCAATAAAAAAAGGGTTGACCAGAGGTGACATGTAAAGTGCGTACTAATTTTAATGCCACTAGGTACAACTCAAAAAAGAATGAGCGAAAAAAGGCAATTTTTAATGCTAGCCAAATTTGTTTTAATCTTAATGAAGATGATATTGATTATGAGTATACGACAAGACAATATCATGGATTCATGATAATTTTTTGGCAACTTTTTGATCTTTAACTGCGTTGCATTTGATCTAAAAATATCATGTGATTTGTTTTGAAAATATGCTAGATTACCAAGTAGTACATTTGAACGAAATTTTGGGATTTCTTTTTCTGAGAAACTGTTTTAATTGAGATTGATAGTGCTATGTTATTTTTTAACATTAACTAATTATAGTTGTATTTATTTATCTTTGCTATGTGAAGTAAGGCAATAATATTTGCAGTAGTTTAAACAGGTATTTGTATTGCTACGCTTACATTTTGAACTTAATGTTAGAGTTTGTAAAAATTTTGATCTTTATTTTATTATGACAACTTTTGTTTGGTTTTTGAAATGATTGGTGGGCATGTGGTCAACTACTTTATGGTTTAGAGAATATTCCAAGAAAAAATAGTAGTTTATTCTAGAAATGCTTTAGATCGTTGTACTATCTAAGATATTGGGGAATCATCCCTGATAAATTGTTTCTATCTGTTTGTGATACCATACATTTAGAAATTATCTAAAAAAATGGCATTGATTTATTTGCTAACTGAACGAAAAGCTTGGATAACAACACCATTATGATTGGCATGGTATTTTATTGCTGTTTTGTTAGTAATTTACTAATTTGCATGTAGTAAAAAATCATTTTAAGATTTACACATTTTAATCGGGTTTGCAAAAGTGAAAACTCACACATTTCCACTGTATTGTGATTTTGAAAATTGTTTGTTGAATCATAAGTAAAAGGATGCACCTAATGCTTGGAGCTCTTGGTAAAATAGGGACTAAGAAGGGGTTGATGTATGCAGTCTTACTCTTTCATTGCCTTTCATGACTCAAATTTGATTCCTACAGTCCCATACAACGCTAAGCTCTTATACGAAGAATGATGCCTTCCTCATTTATTAGCTTTTGGCTATTATCTTTTTAAAGTTGAAATTCACTATTTTTTCTTTCAACTGCTTTTCATTAAAATCTCTTTGCGGCTTTATGAAAAATACTACTACATTGCAGGATCATTAACTGCTATTTATATTGCAGTCAATATTGCTTTGGAACTTTATGAATTATCCCATTTTGTTGAAGTCATTTGGCTACACGTAGATCTATGTTTATTGCACCGTGGGAGATTGGAATTCATCAGTTTATTTTCTTTTTCATTTCATTCCATTACTATCAAAATAATATTTTTTTGCAGGAAGGTCCTCGAACATTGGTGGGGATTGCAACATTTGATTCTGCTATTCATTTCTACAATCTGAAACGAGCATTACAACAGGTAAATGCTCATTTTTTGTAGTTTATCGACAGGAAAGTGCTCCATAATTTGAGTAGTTTTTTTTCCCTCCATGCCTTTAGCAAGCATTTGTTTTCATGTAAAGTCACTACGTTTAGATTACATTTGTATTCAGTTGATGAAGGGCAACTCTTGATTAGACTTATCTGATGCAAATAGCATGATGTGTAGTATATGTTCAAGAACTCTCCATAGCACTTCTCTTGGAACTTTATCATATGCTTTTTCTAAATCAATAAATATCATATGTAGTATATGCTTTCATGCAAAGGAAAATAAATGATTCACATATCGTAAGTGACCAACTAATTCAACAACACACTTTCTTTAATTAAAAAAGGCACTGCTAGAGCTTGAAGCCAATTAATTATAAAATGATAAAAAATCCAAGAATTTAAGCTTGAAATTTGAAATAAATAAATTTATTATTAATTTTCATAAATTAGATTTCTGCTACGTCATTTTTTTTTAAAAATTAAGAGCACCAATTAAGGCAGTAATATAACGAGGAACAAAATTACATTAAAAATGTTTGGTTGCTCGTTGAGGCATGAAGATGATTTCACTCGAAATGAAGTAGTTGCAGGTGCAGTTCGCTCGAAGAAATTACACATCCAGCTTGGGCTCACAATATTATAAATTTAAATGTTAATTTTATTTTAGCTAAAAGTTTTAAATAACATATCTCAAACTATTATTTTTTAGGTTCATAACCTAGGCTAGGAGATAAGGTCGTCAAATGATTAATCTAAACTTAAGTTTGAACTAATTCAATCAACAATTCCTAGATTAATTTAAATTGCATGATCAACCGAATCAACGACCTTCCAATTTAAAATACCCAAATCTATGGAATACTAGCAACCTCAGACACACACAAAGGAGTCAACAGTTTTCAAATGTAAAATACCCAGAACTATGGAATAGCAGTAAGCACAGACACACACAAAGGAGTCTGAGGAAAGCCTCATGCTAATCCCATTGGAGACCATAATATCACCACACACATCTTTGAAAACCATGATGAAAATTGATCATGCTTAACAAAACCCATATGCCACAATCGCATAAGCCTGTAGGTTGAGAAACAGCAATTCTCGATACAGGTCAAAAGTTTATATTTATCATTTTTGGCTTTTTTTTTTTCTAAACATTTGAAACTTATAGAACCAACTAGTCTGCGAATACAACAGGTTAATATAATGTCGTTTTTCATAATCTTGTCAATTTTTTTTTCGTATTTTGATCTAAACTTGACCAAGATCGAAATAATGCCAACCAAATAAATTAATGTTAGGAAATCATGCTAACCTCCAATGCAACTATTCTCAGTCATCGTCATTAGCTTGTGTTCAAATATAGAAATAAAAAAGAAAATGAACCAACTAATGAAAAAATAAATAACAGAAAAAAATATTGTCTGATGTGACGCTTATCCCGAGAATAAATATAAAGATTTTCATCATTTAATTGTCTATAAAATGTGATGTTTAAGTAGTTTTCATTGTATGCCTGTATAAGTTGAACTTATTACCATATTATACCCACAATGTATTGCATATGAGGTGGATGATCCTTGAAATTTAAAATTGAACCAAAAAACTATGTATACGTGATCAAGGCTTTACCAGGTGCTAGCTTATAGTCTTGTACCTTTTGTTGGAAAAATATACTGAATTATAACTGCTCATTAATTGGTGCCACTTTTGGATAACATGTTCCCACAAGGCTTTCTATTAGTTTAGATGCCTTTTAAGTTTATTTTGTTTTATGATGTTGATGGGCCGAGCCCTGGAAGCCCCACCAATGGGGATGTCGGGAAAGGAGAGAGGGGGGATCAAAGTATATTAATTACTTACCATAGAAAATCATAATTGGGAGGGAATGATGAAGGATTATTTAGGAAAAGAGGGATGATTGATTGGGATGGAATTAGGAAAAGTTATTTAGGCAAAGAGAGCTGATTGATTGGGAGGGAATTATGAAGTATTATTTAGGGAGAGAGGGCTAATTGATTGGGAAAGAATTAAAAAAGTTTTTATGCTACTAAATGATTAGGAAAATTTTCTAAATTATGTTTATGCTGATTAGGATGGCTCTATTTGTGTTATTGTGTTCTAGGGCTATTTAAGGGTGAGTTTGTATGAGGTTTAGTTTATTTTTTTAAGGTTTAGCTTATGTTATTGCTGAGTTTTATTTGTAGGGTTCGTTGTAAGATTCCTAGCGGCGTCTAGGATTTGTGGGAGAGATGATCTACCTCTCGAATAGTATATCACTTGTATCTTTCTTTCTTGTTGAAGAAATAATTAAAAACTAGCCACTTTTTTGTGTTCCTATGCTTTTCTTCTCTTTTACTTGCTGTTTTCGCATCCACTTAGTATCAAATTGGTATCAAAACTAGATTTTTGGAGGGATGACAACAAAGATGGTGGATGTGTTGAATGACAAAGTGGAGCAAATCAAATCCGGGATGGAATCTTTCTTAACCATCTTAGGAATGTTTTCAACTATGGAAAGAAGGTTCTCAACCATGGAGAGTTGAATTGGAGGGATGGAGGAGATGATGAGGAAGCTAATTGAGATGCAACCAAAAACTCAACCGTTCATTCCGATTACTAACCATAACCAAGATTTGATTGGTATTTCCTTGACCGAATCTAAAGGGAAATGAGATCAGATTGGAGGAGTTCGACGAGGAGAGTTTCTTTCATCAAGAGCCACCTCCTAGGGCTTCGATAAGGGGCTAATCAGGGTTTTCGGATTGGGGGGGAGGGCAACAAGGAGGGTATTTTATGGGGGAGGTGGTAGTTGGCCAACCACTATTGGAGGCATTTCAGACTAGGGGAGTGAGAGACTAGAGATGAAGGGGGTCGAGTTGAGCCATGGGGATCAGATCATGCAAAGAGGGTACAAGAAAGGTGGGATTCCCACCCTTGATATAGGGGAAACAGGGAGGGATCATGACAACCGTTATACTGGAGGGGGAAGAAACTATTGAGGGAAAGTTGAAGATGGAATTTTTGGGGGAACAAGAGGAGATGCCACCTTTAGAGGCTTCAGCTGCTGCCCTCAGCAGAAAATAAGAAAGCGTTGGAGGGTGAGCATAAGACCGCCGTTTTATGTGGCCAAACCATCTAAGGCGACTCTCTGTAATCTTATCGTCCACTGGAGCTACTCCAACCTTTGAACGTATATGCTCATTTTATATCCTGTTTCTAAAAGTTAAGCTAATCGTCAACCTAAGCATCCTCATCTCTGCAACAGTTAACTTAATATTATGCAATATTATGCTTCTCTTTTAATGGCCAACATTCTACACCATAAAACATTGTCACCACCATCTTATAGAATTTTTCCTTAAGCTTGAGGGGGGCTTTTTATGACACAAGCCCCATGCATTCCTCCACTTCAACCATCCAACTTGAATTCTAATAATTATATATATATATATATATATTATATTCAATTTTAGATCTACTCAAATGAAAACCTTTAAACTCTAAAGTTTATCTCTATAATTTAAGTGTTCTTCAACTCCCTCTCTAGTCTTATCAACAAGAAGAATATCATCAGCTACAAGCATACTCTAGGGTAAAAACTCTTGCAAATGTCTATTGAGAACATCCAGGACTAAAACAAAAAGATATGGGCTTAAGGCTGATCCTTGATGTAATCCAGCTTAAACATAAAAATGGTTAAACTACCTTGTTTTGAACACTAGTAACAGCTCATGCATATATATTCTTAATGACTTGAATATAAGTATTATTAACCCCTTTCTTTTCTAGAACTCTCTATAGCACTTCTCTTGGAACTTTTTCATATGCTTTCTCTAAATCAATAAATATCATATGTAGATCCTCCTTATTTCTATATACTTCTCCATCAACCATCTCAAGAAATGTATAGCCTCCATAGTAGACCTACACGACATGAATCCAACTTAATTTTGAGAAGCATTAGTATCATGCTGCAACCTATGCTTCATAAGTCTATTCCATAGTTTAAAGTATGGCACATTAACTTTATTCCTCTATAATTCACACAATCTTGTGCATCAATTTTATTCTTAAAAATAGGAATCAACAAACCCATTCTCCATTCATTTGACAACTTTTTAGTCTTCAAAATAATATTAAAAAGTTTAGTAAGCCAAGAAATTCTTTCATCTCCTAAGCATTTCCTCACCTCTATTGGAATATTATCAGGTCCAATAGTTTTTCCACACTTCATTTTTGTTAAAGCCTCTATAACTTTAGTTTTACTAATACATAAATAAAAACAAAAAAAATTATTTTCATTTAGGATGCTAAGTTAACTAAAGTCAATCATATTCTCACAATCTTTAGTGAAAAGTTTAGCAAAATATCTCATTCACCTTTGTTGAATATCCTCTTCAAATAAAAATATTTTTTGATCTTCATCCTTGTTGCACTTCACTTGAACTGCATCTTTACTAGTCCTATCTCTTTGCTTGATTAACTTATACATATATCTTTCGCCCTCATTAGTATCTATTATATTATATAAATCATTAAAAGTTAAAATCTTTACATCACATATTGCTTAATTAAACATCTTACGAGCCTCTTTATATTTTTCCCAATTATCATAATTTTTACATCCAAACTAATTTTTATAACAAATCTTCTTATTTTTTTATCTCCTCTTATACATTTTGATTCATCATGAACTATTTTTATTATTAAGAGCTTTTAGCGACTTCCCTTGATACAGATAGATTTTGATTCATCATGTATCCCAGCAGAGAAAAGTTATTAGCGACCACAGTCCATTAGTGACACTATCAATGACCTTGACATAAGAAATGGAGGTGATCCTAGAGCTAAGGGAAGTGATAGGAGTTCAATTGACATCTAGAGGAGTCAGAGAAGTGTTGATTGAGTGGAAGGATATGCCCGACTATGAAGCAACATGTAATCTGTACCAGATGATTCAACAATAGTTTCCTTCGTTTTCCCTTGAGGATAAGGTTGCTCTTTGGGAGGAGAGTATTGATGGGCTGAGCCCTGTAGGCCCCACTAATGGGGACGACATGAAAGGAGAGGAGGGGATCAAAGATGATTAATTACTTACCATAGAAAATCAAAATTGGAAGGGAATTGGGAAAGATTGTTCAGGTAAGAGGGCTAATTGATTGGGAGAAAATTAGGAAATCTTATTTAGGGAAAGAGGGCTGATTGATTAGGAGGAATTAGGAAGGATTATTTAGGGAAAGAGGACTGATTGATTGGTAAAGAATTATGAAGGTTTTTTATGTTGCTAATTGATTAGGAATGTTTCTTAAATTATGTTTATGCTGACTAGGAATGTTCTATTTGTGTTATTGTATTTTAGGGCTATTTAAGGGGGAGTTTGTATGAGGTTTAGCTTATGCTATTGCTGAGTTTTATTTTTATGATTTATTGTGAGTTTTCTAGCAGCATCTAGGGTTTGTGGGAGAGCTGATCTACCTTTCGAATAGTTGATCACTTGTATCTTTCTTTCTTGTTGAAGAAATAATAAAAATCAGCCACTGTTTTGTTATCCCTAAACTTTTTTTTCTCTTTTACATGCTATTTTCACATCCACTTACTATCAGATGTATTTAGGGTAATATTATTGTTGCTGTAGCTCATATTTTGTTCATGAGTTTACCTTTGCAACTTCTGTATTTGGCAGCCTTTGATGCTGGTTGTTCCTGACATACAAGATGTTTATACTCCGCTGCATACTGATCTAATTGTTCCAGTTGCTGAGGTTAATATTATCAGAAGATCATTTTTCCTGTTGGTTATGTATATTATTTTCATAATTATTCATTTGCAAAATTTGAAAGACTTGCTTAGCTATTCTTGTCATTTTGAGGGTTTAGTGCCGGCAACACCTGGAGCAGTTGCTTGAAAGTATTCCTTCAATGTTTGAGACCAACAAAGTTGCTGATTCAGCATTTGGTGCTGCTATAAAGGTATAGCTATTTTTGAAGGTTGAATTCTTTCCATTTTCTTTCTTAGCCTAATCATTCTTCATTCAATTATATTATAGCTATGTCCATTGGTGTTGCTTAATCTATCACTTAATGGTTGAAAAATAATCCAGTTTTGGCAGACTTTAAGATGGTGGATTTTTAACTTGCTAAGGGAATTGTTCACAGTTCTTTTAACATTAAATTTTGCATGTTGAATTATATTGGATGCATTGTGAAGGAATGAAACACGAATTCAAATTAGATTTGAGCATCCTGACGTGATATTTTTTGTTCATATTTTCTACGAATATTTTTTTTTTCATCCTAATTAGTTGTCTTGATTCATGCAAACTATCTCAGGCTGCTTTCCTGGCTCTGAAGCCGACAGGGGGGAAGCTTCTCGTATTTCAGTCAGGTAAATCCTATGCGGATGTCAACTCCATATATATAAAAGAATGGACTGCATTTCTTCATTATTTAATCTCTTATTTTAATATGTTTATTGCCAATTTATTCAATCTGAGAGCTTCCTTTGTGGGGTTCAAATCTTATTTTACCATAGATAAAATATGGGTTGTGGATCTATCGTTGGCCGTTGTTTGTGGGTTCTGTAGAAGTGTTCTGAGAACTGAGCATTTTCTGTTGAAGATAGTCACTATATTTAGTACCATGTGTTGGATTCTTGCCTTTCATGTTGTGTTATAATGTATTAGTTTCAGTCATGTCGAACATATTAAGTTTTATCATCGGCCATTTTCAGCTTAGGTTGAGGCTAGTTAGATGCTACTTGGAAACGTCTCTTTCTAATAATTCATAGGTAAAATGGAGTTGTCTTTCATTGCGAGGTGATCTCAAATAGCTGAAGTAACAATCATGGTGGGAGATGGATGTATTATCGAATATCTACAAGTGGATGTTATTTTGTGTATTGTCATAAACAATTAGCGTTAGTGGGCTTTGTGGATAACAAAACGGATTGGAAGGAATTCTTTCTGAATGATTTAAAACATTTAAAACAAGTTAATATATAGACTAGTTTTTAAAGAAAACAGGGGAAGTAGTCTTTCAAATTAGGGAAAATATTTGTATTTGTACACCTTCATTTAATCTACACGATAATTTTTAAATCAAATGTTTACTAGAATGCCTTCCTCATAAAAAATAATGAGTTTTCTTCCACAGCTGTTGGTTTTGGATTTCCTTTTATAGTGCTCGTGGATTCCAATGCTTCCCCCTCACATTGGAGAATAAATGTTTTCCATTCTAAGCTTGGATATGATTTCATGAAAAAATATCTCTGCCTAGTCCTTGAGTAAAAACTTATGTCAGTTGAATTCTTTGATGAATTGCCTGTTAATCCCAAGATGCTTTGCTACATTATGCTTAATTGGATTATGAGCATGTATTGCTAGCTTGTTATCACAATATAACTTCATTGGACTTTCCTATGTGATTCTAAGCTCATTTAGGATGGTATTTAACCATAATAACTTACAACATTTTTGTGCCATGTCTTTAAATTCTAATTCAACACTAAATCTAGCCACCACTTATACTTTTGTTCCTCTATGTCACTGTATTTTTCTTGAAGAAGTTTGCAATAACTTGGTGTAGATCTTCTTTCCACTCGTGAACACGCATAATCTACATTTGTGTAGGCTTCTAATATGTGTAGGCTTCTAATATGAGGTAATTATTTCTTTTGAGTATAACTCCATATCATGGATCACCTTTTGGGTAGTGTCGTAGATGTGGACTCTTGGATCAAGCGTAAGTTGACTGATCATGTCTAGTCAAGTGCAAGCAAGGTGAATTTTTCTATTAGTTTCTAATATGTCTTGTGACACCCCCAATATTTAATTTGGAAGGATTGACTATTTTATTTACTATTTAGAAATATCAGAGCCTTTAATAATTTATTAATATAAATAAATCCAACAGAATCACCTATAAATCATATACATCAATTTACAATTATTCATTTCCCAAAATTTATGTATAATAACCAAGAGTTTAATCTATTGCTAAACACTTATGGCAAAAAAAAAAAAAAAAAAAAAAAAAAAAAAAAAAAAAAAAAAAAACTAAACCTCCAATCAACCTCACTCCATTGAGTTATGACTTCTTCTCAGACCTGAAATTAATAAAATCATATAATGAGCTACACAAGCCTAGTATGTTACCTGAATCTGTCACTACATTCAATGCAAGACATTATAATTAATATGCATGCTTTATCTCAATCAATACAACTTGTAGAGGTCAATATGAATTTACATCAATCAATGAACAATATGAATCAATATCAATAAAAAAATGTTGGTCTAAGAATCTTTCAAATATCAATAAATATAAAGTAAATCATTATTCTTTTCATTAATAGGGTTTTATTTAAACATTTTATAATATTATAATCAAGCTATCAATTATGAATCCTTATTTTTTTTATCAAATGCTTGCAATTTGTATGTCATGTTTCATGTATCATACACACACACACACACTTACATCAACCTCATAAATCATATCAGTCTCTTTCTTCAATTCGACTGACGAAAATGTCCTGAACAACTTTCTCTCTCTCCCTTCTCTCCTTTCCTCTCCTTTCTTCCCCGACAAGAAATTCAATAGGGGCTTTCGAGTATGGGGGGATGAAGGATATATATATATATATATATAACATTATTATTTCCATTTCCCAAGCCCTGGATGAGAAAATGGTTGTGTTAGGTAGTTGACAACTAACGTAAAACTTGTCGAGTAATCATAACATGAATCTTTTAATACATTTTATTAAAGTTAAAGCGCTTCCTGGAAGCGACACACTGTATGGACTGAATACAATGAGAAGTGTGCAAGGGCCGCAGCACTGACGCTCGGATATAGTATTAAATAAGCAAGAGTTCCCACATCATGGATGAATGTGGGCAAAAAAACTAGTCCATGAAATTAGAATTAGGGTAGAAACTTGGAATGTAGGTTCTCTTATAGGTAAATTAATAAAATTAATAAATATTATGATTCACATGAAGATAAATATTCTATACATTCAGGAAATTAAATAGGTTGGAGAGAAGGCTAAGGAGATTGATAGTTTATAATTTAAACTACGATATTCAGGTAGGAGTCATACTAAAATGATATATGTGTGATTATAAATAAGAGTAATAGAATTTGAGTTATAATTATAATTTTGAAAATTGTTGCTGATGTTAAGATTATTAATATTATAAGTATTAATGCTCTTCAAGTAGGTTTGAATATATGTTTAAAATTAAAATTTTGGATAGACTTAGAATAATTAATACAAAATATATTTCTTAAAAAAAGAATTTTTATTGAAGGAGATTTAAATGGATATGTTGGTGGAGAGGCATAATATTTTAAAGGCATTCATGGCGGGTATGAATTTGGAATGACTAATGAAGGTGTTATGATCATATTGGATTTTTCTCTATCTTATTATTTTGCAATTGCTAACAACTTATTTAAGAAAAGAGATGAACATCTCTATCACTTAAAAGAATGATTATAGTGAAGCTCAAATTGTTTTTTTTAATAAGAAAAATAGATTGTTTATATTGCAAATATGATAAAGTTATTTCGAGTGAAAATTTATCTATCCAGCATTGCTTATTAGTTTGAACCCTAAGATGATAGGGCAAAATATGAAAAATAAAGTAAAATATTGTCTTAGGATTTGATTGGACATTTAAAAAATACAAATAAAATTATTTTTTAGAGTAAGATTCAAAATCTTATGATTTTGGCTGAAAAAAATAATTTGTGGTATTAAGAATGTGTTTGGAGTATTAAAAAGAAAAACTTCTGATAGTAAAAATAGTTGGTGGTGGAATTAAAATGTGTAAGAAAAGATAAAAAATAAGAAGCTTTATTATGAAAGTTAGTTTAGATAGAAAAATGCGAAAAATTGGGAAATATATGAAGATATCTGTAAGGAATTTTAGAAAACATTATGTTGTGCAAATAATTTTGCTTTTAATGCTTCATATAATATATTATATATTTAGGAAGGCATATATATATATATATATATATATATATATATATATATATTTATATGTACGTATGTATATATAAGTGAGCCAAGCAAAGAGATATGAGAAGTAAGGATTTAGTTCAAGTGAAGTGGGTTAAGGATGAAAATTAAAAGATACTTTTATTAAAAAAAGGATATTCAACAAAGGTATATGAGATATTTTGAGAAGTTTTTCAATGACATTTGTGAGAATATGATTTATTTTAGTGACCTTACCACCCAAAATGAAAGTAGATTTTTTTTTTTGTTTTTATCAGTGTATTAGTAAAATTGAAGTTAGAAAGACTTTAAAGAAAATGAAGTATGGAAAAGCGGTTGGACTTGATGATATTCCAATAGTGGTGTGGAAATGCTTAGGAGATGAAGGAATTTCTTGGCTTTAAAAAAATTTTATTTTTATTTTGAAGACTAAAAAGATGCTAGATGAGTGGAGGAGTGATGATTCCTATTTCTAAGAAATAAAGGTGATACACAAGAGTGTGTGAATTATAGAGGAATTAATTAAATGACTCATACTTTAAAATTTTGGGAGAGATTTATTGTGCATATGTTACAGCGTGATTCTAATATTTCTCAAAATCTATTTGGATTCATGCCGGGACTTCGGGGGTAATTTTCTTTCACACAATAGGCCCAATGCATTCCTTCACTTCTCCAACTTGAATTTACTATTAATATCCCAATCTATTTCACCATCGCTTTGAATAAATTTAATAAATAGACTTGAGATGTATAAAGCATGCACTCTTTTTAATGTAAGTGAATCATCATAATATATATATAAAATAGATTTTTGTTATAGCATATATCAAGATCAATATTGTTAATTTTCTTTGGAGCATGTTCAGATTTGATGTAAGCCTAAGTCTTAGATTCTGGTCTTGCAGTTTTGCCATCTATTGGAACTGGGTCACTTTCGTCAAGAGAAGCAGAAGGAAGAACAACAAATGTTTCTTCTGGGGAAAAGGTATTATCTTTGTTAATTTTCATTTTTTGTTTCAGACTTTACCTTTTGTATGAATTTTTATTCTTTGCTCAGTTATATTAAGAGGCTTGTGGAATGAGTTTTTTTTTTTTTTAATGATGAGAATGAAATAAATAATGTTTGGTTGTGCCCAGGAATTTGTAGTAATTCGTTCATGTAATAACTCCTGGTTTTTATGCGATTTAGTTAGCAAATTTTGAAGCTTAAAATTGATATATTATCCACAAATGGTTTCTCAATACTTTAGTGCATTTCAATGTTATTTGTAATTTTTGTCTAGTTTAAATATAGTTCTGGATCCAAACATGGTATTCTTGTATTTAGATGGTTTTGTTAAGTGCTAGAAAACAGCATCAGATGGTTACACCTGAGTTGCAACTCAATAAGGCGCGTTTGCAATTAATGAATTTTCGCTGACTCACTTCTTTTGGGATTCCAGGAGGCTCATAAGTTACTTCAACCAGCTGATATGACTCTGAAAACAATGGCAATAGAGTTTGCTGAGCACCAGGTGAGAAATTTGGGGTTTCTTGTTTTAAATGACAGCATATTCTCTGATGAGGGCTTCAAATTTTAATCTATTTAGAAAGGTAATCAACAGTGCTTTATTTGTGTCTGCTAATTTTTTGTTCCCTATCAGGTTTGTGTGGATGTTTTTATTACCACGCAGGCATTTGTAGACATGGCCTCTATCTCTGTAGTTCCAAGAACCACTGGAGGTCAGGTAATAGGTTTACATACTCTTGTTCAAGACACCTCTTTTTCTCATTATTGTATAAAGTGCATTTATGAACCGAAATATTTTATAGTGCAAGAGAAATTGAACGTTTCTATTTAGTAATTTGTAGTTTCTCTATTATCCCCTAATCTTTTGTCATCCCTTGCTCTGTTATTCCCTTCAGCAACTATAGTCAATTTAATTGCCTTGTCTAGTTCAATTTTTTTGTCCTATTAAAGATCCTGAACCTTTTTACTTCTTCGGCTCCCCTTACTTGTACCTGCATGTTTATACTTTTTGTATTTTTTCTAAGGAATAAAACTCTAAAATAGTCCTTCGACTATTAATAAATGTCCAATTTAATCCTAGACTTTCATGATGACCCAATTTAGTCATCTAACTATTAGAAAATATCTCTATTTGGTCCAAATGCTAAAAGGGTTAAAATTAACCTTAATATGGATATTATGGTATATGTGAGATCATATTATTATTTTTTATTTATCATATTAAAATAAATATAAAAATTATAATGAAGTTAACCACCTAAATAATATGAATAATTAATAAATGTGGTTAACTCATATTATAATTTTTGTATTTATTTTACTTTGATAAATGACCAAATATATTAAAATAATAATATAATTTCACATGCATCTTAATACTCAAAATATTCTCACATTTAACTGTTGTGATTAACTTTAACCGTTACTTTTGGCCTTGGGACCAAATTTAGATATTTTCTAATTGTCAGGGGACTAAATTGGGGAATTATAAAAATTTGGGATTAAATTGAGCATTTCCTAATAGTCAGGGGACTACTTTTGGCTTTTACTCTTTTTCTAAGCAATTCCATTGCATGCTGTTGGGAAGAAGTTTGAATAATTTAAAGCTTTTTATTTTATTTTGTTTACTGGAAATTGTTTATCTTGTCACTTCCATGCATAATGGTAATTGTTTATTATGCCATTTCGTTAAAATATAGTACCTTGATTTTGGTTACTAGATTTTTTTTTGAAGTGTAATCCTGATACATTTATTTTAGTTAGTAGATGTTTTCCAAGTTTGCTTCGCCTTGAAGGTTCTTCATGATTCAGTTATCATCATTATGCCCTATCACAACTATTTGGGCTTGGATTTTGGAATTCTTATTCTATATTTGTTATTGTTATTTGTTGCATGAGTTTTTTTTTTTATATATATTTTGCATAGTGTATCTTCTACTCTACATCATGCATGTTCAAACAATTTGAATCTATTTTCCATAACATCGACTTCACTTTGTAATTCTTTAATCAGCCCACTAATATACTTATTTTATAGTCTATCTTGCATAGTTTTGCTACATATCCATTTATCATATTTATTTATGCCACACTCAATTTATCTATTAGTGATTCTTAATTGAATGCTAGGATTTTTGTAGCATAGTTGATCTAATTTCAGTTTTGCATATTTCTTTTTGGATTCCATGCTATTCTTTTATTTCATCCATTTTAATTGCCCAACCCCAACTTTACTACATTCCCATTCCTTTGTATAATAGATCTAAGTTGCTTAGACCTAGCACACATAAGTATTATTGCTTGATCTTACAATAATTTTGACTACTATCCTATTAATTTCACTTCCACTAAACTAAATGTATACTAACTCTTTCTTCTATTAATCCTTTAGTTATGTCATCTAAAATTTCTTTTTATTATTGTAATTTTAAACTTCAGATCAAACTATATCGTTTGTTGCAAATAACTTATATCAATGTATCTCACTTTGACTTTTACATCGCTTGTTAGTTTTGAACTTTAAGATGAAGGAAAAAAAAAAAAAACAAATCGTTGTTCTAGGATTAATTAGGGGCATTTAAAGAATATTAAAAAATATATTTTTGAGGGTAAGATTCTAGATCTTAAGATTTTGTCTGTGCATGAGAAAACTAATGTTAGTGGGAAAAAGTAATTAGTGATATTAAGAATATTGCAAAAGATGTGCTTGGAGTATCAAGGGGAAAAGCTCATAATAGTAAAAATAGTTTGCGATGGAATCAAAATGTGCAAGAAAAGATAAAAAATAAGTAAATTTGTTATAAAATTTGTCTAGATATAAAAATTCTAATAATTGAGAAAGATATAAAGAGGCTCATAAGGAGTCTAAAAAAGCAATATACCATGTAAATATTTTAGCTTTTAATATTTATATAATAGATTAGATACTGAGGAAAAAAGATATATATATAAGTTAGTCAAACAAAGAGATAGGGGTAGTAAAGATTTAGTTCAAGTGAAGTGTATTAAGGATGAAGATAAAAAAATGTTTTTATTAGAATAAAATATTCAACAAAGGTGGATGAGATATTTTGCTAAACTTATCAAGGATGATTGTGAGATTACGATTGACTTGAGTGACCTTAGCACCTTAAATATAAATAAATTTTTTTAATTGGTGTATTATTTAAACCAAAGTTAGAGAGGTTTTTAAAAAATGAAGTGTGAAAAAGCTGTTGAATATGATGATATTCCAATAAAGGTGTTGAAATGCTTAGGAGGTTAAGAAATTTCTTGGCTTACTAAATTTTTAATATTATTTTGAAGACAAAATATGCCAAATGAGTGGAGAATGAGTGTGTTGATTCATATTTTTAAGAATAAAACTGATGCACAACATTGTGCGAATTATAGAGGAATAAAGTTAATGTGTCATACTTTAAAACTATGGGGGAGAGTTATGGAGCATAGGTTTCGGCGTGATACTAATGTTTCTCAAAATTAAGTTGGATTCATGCCGGGTAGGTCTACTATGGAGGCTTTACATTATTGAGATGTTTAATGGAGAAGTATAGAGACAACAAGGAGGATCTACATATGATATTTATTGATTTAGAGAAAGCATATGATAAAATTCCAAGAGAAGTGCTATAGAGAGTTCTAGAAAAGAAATGAATTAATAATACTTATATTCAAGTCATTAAGGATATATATGCAGGAGTTGTTACTTGTGTTCAAACACAAGGTGGTTTGACCAAGTATTTTCCTATTTCAGTTGGATTACAATTTGGAACAACCTTAAGCCCTTTTCTTTTTTTCCTTAGTCATGGATGTTCCCACTAGACATTTGCAAGAGGTTGGTATATGCTTTTTGCTAATGATATTCTTTTTGTTGATAAGACTAGAGAGGGAGTTGAAGGTGAACTTGAATTAGTCAACCTTAGAGTCTAAAGATTTTTGTTTGAGTAGATCTAAAACTGAATATATGGAGTGTAATTTTAGTAATAATTAGATCTAGCGGGAGGATTGTGACTTTGGATGATTAAGTCATTAATTAGAGTACACATTTTATATATCTTGGGTCAATTGTTCAAAGTGATGGTGAAATAAATGGGGATATTATTAATAGAATTCATGTTAGATGGTTGTAGTGGAGGAATGCATTGTGCTTGTTGTGTGATTGAAAAGTCTCCCTCAAACTTAAGGGAAAATTCTATAAGATGGTGGTGAGACCTGCAATGCTTTATGGTGCAGAATGTTGGCCATTAAAAGAGTAGCATAATATTAAGTTAAGTGTTGCAGAGATAAGGATGCTCAAGTGGATGAGTGACTTTACTCATAGAGACAGAATACGAAATGAACATATACGTGAAAAGGTTTGAGTAGTTCCAATGGAAGATAAGATTTGAGAGAGTCATCTTAGATGGTTTAATCACAAGAAACATAGATGCATTAGATTTGGCTTATTTTAAGAAAGGTAGAGGTAGACCTAAAAAGATTTTGATGTAGAATTAAGATGCGTGAGTAAATATGTAATGCTGATAATACACACATTTTAATTAGAGAAATAATAATTACATTTACTTTTAGTGATTTAAACAAATATTAAAACAACAAAGAAGTGATTTAAGCTTAGGCCAAATTACAAGATAAAAGTTAAAATCACGAATAATAAGTTCCAATCACGATTAGCATAGCATGGAGGAGTTCAAAGGAAACCCTATGTTAACATATAGATTAGGCACTCATTGGATCCACTCACTCACACTCTTGGCATAGACTAAACGGAGATAGATTGCACAATCTTTATGATGCCACAAATAAAAGGGAAAACTTAGAAAAGCAGAGACTTGGAGAAGAGGCTCACCTTTATCAAGCTTTGGAGACAATTCACCATTAAATGAGAGAAAGTTGTTCGTCGATTGTGGCGACGAGGGAGAAGATGATCCTGTCGACGTAATCTTCAACGGTTTGATCGGTCTCCAAGCTGACGTCAAAGAACGGAGATTTGAGAATTTCAATTTGTCCCTGATCATCGTAGACAAATCCTTGGTCTTGTTCAGGATCCGCCATACAATGGAGAAAGGAAGTAGAACATGAAACTTCAGATTTTGTGGAAGTGTGGTAGAGAAGACATCAATTAGTAAATATGAAATTAATTTTAGAAAATTGAAAAATATGAAATTAATCCGGAGGAGGAATAGTTGGGAGGGAAATTAAGTTGAAAGAGCAAAGAGGAAGGGGAGAGAGAGAGGGGAGTATTTCCCAATATCTGAAGTTTAATTTCATATTTGATTGGGAGGGGATTGGAGGTTTTGAATTTCAAATTTCAAATATGAGGAGGGAAAGGAAAGGTGCTCCTTTGATGAGGGAGTTGATTAGGGCTCCAAAGGAGGAAGGGAATTAATGTAGGATAGATAGAGGGAAGGAGGGGGCCGGCGGAATGCTTGGGCAAGAGGGGGGCTTTTGGCGGGGATTTAAAACTTGCCTTCTTAGAATCTTAAATTACGAAAGATTATTTCAAATCAAATCCTATTTAAAATTCAAATAGATTTGATTTAAGTAACTTTCCTAAAATAAACGTAGTAGATTAGGAAAATAAACATAGTAGATTATGAAAGAAATTTCAAATTTCGAATGAAAAAGGAATAAGCTTTTAATACTTTCCTACTGTGATTTGCACAAAATATGGAAAATAATAATGTGGTAATTTGAAATTTGAACGCAAAGGAGGACTTGTGTTCGGCAGCTTGTGTAGGGTTAGGGTTGGGATTGGGTTTTGATGTGTGGACCGACGGCTATGGGGAGGGGCAAGGCCTTTGTGGCCGACAGCTAGGAGGAGGAGAGGGGTCTTGTTGGGCTGGCTACTAGGAGGGGTGGAGGGAAGAAGAAGAGATGGTGAAGGAAGAAGATCACGAACCCAGACGCTTCATGCAGCTGGTGGGTATTCCGTTGCCCTCACATAGGGACTTCAAGCAAGCTCTCTCAAAAATTCTCACAACTTACAAACAAAGTGCAGTAAAATTTCTTCATAATCATCATTAACTATCACAAGAATAAGAGGAGGCTATAAATAGCCCAAAGTACAATAATAAAACAAAAGACAAAAGTGCCCCCAGGGTCACAAGCACCTACTCCCTCAAGTAAGGATAAAATAAAAAAAATAAATAACAATAAATCAAATACAACTAATAACTCAAAAATAAAGTGGTGCGATCATGGCCGTAGATCGACGGCCCCGCCTTTGGTAAACTTTCCATCGTCGGATGTCCTCATCAAATTTGTTTAGAAAATATTAGATATGACATTTCTTTATTAGATTTAAAAGAGAATTTGATTCTTAACTGGACCTAATAAAGAAAAAGGATTCATGTAGCCGATCCCACGTAGTGGGGTAAAGTCTTGATGTTGTTGTTATTGTTGAATGTATCTCACTTTGAATATTCTTTATATGCTTCTTCATAACTAATAAAAAATGCTAATTTAATGATGATTCTTGGTGTTATTCTGCTATGATTGAAAATCCGTTTGTTAATTCACATCTACTTTTAATTATTTAATGATCTATCATTCTTTTTTTTTAATTATGTAAAATCATGACTCACATTTTTTTTGTGTGCACCTTGCCAATCACAATCATTTTCTTTCTCAAGAACCCCTAAATACCATATTAAAAATATTTTCTTCCTATAGTTTTTTTACACTAAGGGCTAATTGTTTTCATTGCAAGTGTTGAAAAGTGATTGCGTCTCACTTAAAAAATGAATTCAAGCATCTTTTTTTCTTGAGACTAATTTATCATTCATGAAACTTGCCATTAAAAAGATGAGAAGTGTGTGTTTGAAATCTTGAAAGTCACCTTCAATTTTCTGTTTTTTACTTTTAATAGTAGTGTAGTGATATTAAAATAATAGGGTGATTTGTTAGAATTTTAATCTTCTTGTTATAATAAAAAAGTGTTTAACATTTAATGCTATGGTGGGTAAAAATGAAGGTCCTTGCAGCCCAAGCGAATACATGAACTTAGCTTACAAAGTTAGTTCTTAGAAAGATTTCACTACAATTTACTTCAATGTGACTTGACTTCTAGAATTCAGATCCAAACACATGCAGAAAAAAAAGCCTAATTTGCTCAACTTTCACACATAACTGCATTTAATGATTCATTAATTTAATTTCTCATATTAAGACAAATTTGATTTTTTTTTTAAATATACTACCTCAATGCTCCTTGAATTAGTCGGCATTCTCTTACTTTTAAAGATTTTCTTTAAAAAGAAATAAAAATTTATTAGCTTAACTATCTTAATATCTTTCATAACTTTTCAAAACATAGTTTTTCTCACATTGATCTTAAGTTTTATCTTTATACATCTTCTTCACTCCAAGTTATAGCGCTTTTTTAATCATTATCAAATTTCTATAATGATTATGTTTATTACTCTTCTAAATTTTTTATACGTTAAATTTTTCGTTTAATAATTTATTCACTTATCAATTCTATTTTTCATATTGTCTTTGTCATTATCAATATCCTGTTATATTCACTTTCTTCATTAATGCATTTTCCTTTATCAAAGTTTTTAGAATTTCTATGTAGAATATTTCTTTGCTGTTTGTTTTTTGTTTTCAATTTTACTTATGCTATTATGATCTACACTGACATCTATTTTCCAGGTTTATTATTACTACCCATTTTCTGCGCTTTCCGATACTGCCAAGCTATACAATGATCTCAGGTGGAACATCAGTAGGCCCCAAGGGTTTGAGGCTGTGATGCGTGTTAGATGCAGCCAGGCATAGCTCTAATGATTCATGCACTCGATTTTTTTTTCCTATACGTTTATAAATAGAATTTCCTGTTTAATACTTTTTAACATATTTTATTTTTGTAGGGCATCCAAGTTCAAGAATATTCTGGAAACTTTTGCAAGCGTATTCCAACTGATATAGATCTTCCTGGGGTCAGTACTCATAAACATGCAATTTATTGTTTTTAGTCTTGTTAACTTTTTTCTAAATTTTAGAATTTTTTTATGTTATTATTGTTTTTTTTTTGCTTAATTGTTCAGTGGTTGAATTTTGGAGTTATTCCAGCCAAGTGCTAATTACCATATCAGTCCTTGTGGGAGGTTGAGGCCTTTTGTGCCAAAAAACCTGGAGGGGAGAGGGGGTTGAGTGAGAGACAAAAAGATTCATCTTCCTCTTTTCATGTATGCACACAATCAATCCTGTAAGGTGTGTGTATCTAATTTATTGTTACAATATTGTTTCATGGGCCCTTCCCATTAGATTCTTAGGTCTTCTAGAATCATCTTGATCCATAGTAGCTCACATATTTCCAAGGCCATAGCACCGTACTCTGCTTTTGCTCAAAACCTTGTCACCATATTTGTTTATTGCTCCTCAATGTAACAAGGTTTCCTTCAAGGAATGTGTAGTATCATGAGGTAGATTTTCTATCTACTGGTGATCCTGCGTTATCTACATCAAGATATGCCTTTGGTGTTATTCCATACTCTTTTGAAGAGAATCCCTTTACCTAGATTCCCTTTAAGGTAATACAATATTTTGTTTAGAGCTTGCATGTGAGTATGTTTTGGATTTTGCATGAACTGGTTGGCCACACTTACAGCAAAAGCTATATTTGGTATGGTGTGGGAAAGGTAGATCAATTTTCCCACAAGACACTGGTAAGCTCCCTTATCTATGTCTGGATCATCTTTAACTTCCCTCAAATTGAAATTTGGTTCTAGTAGTGTTGAAGCCGGTTTACAAACTAGTTTATTTGTTTCTTTAGGAAGATCATTAATGTATTTCTGTTGTGAAATGAAGATTCCTCTATTAAAATGGGCCACTTCAATTCCAAGGAATATTTTATTCTATAAAGTTCTTTGATTTCAAATTCATTGGCAAGACATTTCCTTAGAATCACTTTCTCCTTTTTATCATTTTCAGTTAAGATGATATCATCCATATAAACTAATAAAATTGTGGCTCCCCCTGAGTTTTAGTGTTTGAAGAATAATCTATGGTCCCCTTGGCTCTAAATTTTTTCCTTGAATCTTGGTGGAATCTCTATACATATTTTGATGAGGACATCAGAGATCTACGGCTACGATCGTGCCTATTTATTTTGATCTATTTTATATATTTGATTTGTTATTGTTCTTTTTCTCTTTCTACTCTCACTTGAGGGCTTTGTCTTATGTATGCCCTAGGGGCAATAGTGTCTTTGTTATTTCCCATCATGTATTTGATTATTTAAAGCCTCCCTCTTCTCCTTAGAGGGAATGAATGAATGATAAAAAAAAAATTCCTGCACATGTGTTCTTTGAGTTGTGAGAGTTCTAGGAGAGAGCTTTGGAAAGATCCCTAGGGAGGGAAGTTGGATCACCCACCAACCTTGGAGACGGCCGGGTTCATGGTTCTTTCTTTTATCTCCCTTTCTTCCTTTGTCACCAAGCTGCCGACCGTGAAGCCCATTCCATCCCATCAAGCCGCCGACCACCATACAACCTCCACTCGCCATCGGGTAAACTCAATTCCATCCCTATCATCATCCGACGAACCACAACCTCATCACCACCCCACCGAAATTCCCCTCTCAAATCCATCAAGCCGCCAGCCTCATCTCCCTCCTTCTCCCTCCGAAATTCAAATCTCTATTTGAATACTTTTCATAAATACTTACTCTTGATTTGGGAAGATCTAATTTCAAAATTCAAACAATTTGAATTTGAAATTTTCTTTCCTAATTTAAGAAAACTTATTTTAGGAAAGTTTCTAAATTTAAATCAATTTGAATTTCAAATTCATTTGGTCTCAATTAAAACCTTTCCTAATTCCTAGACCCAAAATAAGAAACTTTTAATCCCTCCCCTTAATTCCCTCCAAGGTCATTAATGCCGCCGGCCCCCTTAGGGATTGGATTAGGAATTCTTTCCTAAAACCCAATTCTCCACTTTAGAAACATTTCCAAATCTCATGCTCTCTCCTTGGCCGAAATTTTCAAATGCCCACCACTCTTAAATACTATCCAAATCCTAACATTAGAGTTTGGAAACAAATCCCTCATTCCCACCTCTTCTCTTGGCCGAAATCTCCAAGGGCCACCTCAATTTCTGTCCGCAAAATTCAGCCCCCTCAAGTTGGAAATATTTCCAAAACCTGGCCAATACCTACCCGCCTCCTCTCTAGCAGCTCTGCTAGATCTACTTTCTACAAATTCCTCCCAAACTCCACCCGTTCTGTGTTTCCTGTTCTCCAAGCCTGCTGCCAGAATTTCCTGCACCTATTCTTGGTTTTCCCAGAATTCTCCCCCAGTCAAAGCAGCTGTCCCTGCTGCTATAATTGATTTTCCTGCATCATTGGAAGTCTAAAGTTGCTGTCTAAAAGCTTCCAGCAGTCCATAACAACTGCCCAAGGTTTATACAAGCATTAGAGGTTGCTGCCCAGAATTTTCCAAGTGTCAAAGTTTCTGTCCAGCATCCGTAGATGCCTCCTATTTCTGTTTCGCTGGGTTTTAAAAATCAGATTGTTGTCCAAAAACAACGAGAAGAATCAAGGTTGTTGTTTACTTCCGCTCAAGCACATAAACTCCACACCGGAGATTTGTTTGACTTGTTTACTTGGGTGATCTTTCCTCCTACTCTTTTATCTTTTAGTCACTCTCAATTGTAGTTCTAATTGATTGTAACGTTGTGCTAATTCTTCCCGCTAAAGCTTGATATTTATTAGGAGTGGTGTGATAGATCTCTCTTAGCACTACTCTTATTGTTAGATTAGGGATTTCTTGTTGAAACCCATTTCATTTGCAACGTCTAGAGCTATTGATTATTATGTGGTTTTAATTTTTCGCAAGTAACTTGGCCTAAGCTTGTGTTTACCGTTCTTTGGTTTTATTTCATTGTTCGAATCATCATAAAGCTTTAATTAATTAGCTCTTACTCAATAAGCGTGCAAAATCCTTATCAAAATCAAATTTTCATATTTGTCCTGCATCATATTTCTTCTTCCAAATCCTCATGTAGGAATGCATTTTTGATATCCAGCTGTTTCAGATGTCAGTTATAATTAGTTGTTAGTGAGAACAAGATTCTCACGGTGTTCATCTTAGTCATAGGTGCAAAAGTTTCTTGTTAGTCGATTTCGTACGTTTGAGTGTACTATTTCACTACCAGTCTTGTCTTATACATTTTCAGTGTACCATCAGCTTTTTATTTCATAGAGAACACCCATTTGCAGCTGACTGATCTTTTTTTACTGGTAGGTCGGTGATCTCCTAGTTATTGTTCTTTTCTAGGGGCTGCATTTTATTTTTCTTGACACTTTTCAAATTTTCATCAAATAAGGCCTCATAAATATTATTAGGAATATGAATATTATTTAGTGTGACAAAAAAATTTTTGTGTGAATGTGAGAAATTATGGAATGATGCAAAGTTGGTTATGGGGTAGACATGAGATTTTTTTGATGAACTTGTGTTTACCTCAATTTCAGGAGATGGTTCAAATTATTTGATCTTCTCTGGAGCATAGTTTGGATTTGTGCGCTTGGAATATACTTTTTCAAATCTCATGTTATCCATAATAGCTTTGTCATCCGTCTCTCTAGCTTTTATTTCAGGCTTAGGTGGATTGGTTTGAGGTGAAGCTAGAAGGTCAAGAGGGGCAAGCTCAATTTATTCATTTTTCTCAATTTCAATCTCCCCTTGAAGATGAGGTTTGGTGAAATAGGATTTTTGTTTGTCAAAAGTAACGACAACAAATATAAGAGTTTTCTTGGTGGAGGCTTGATAATACTTATAACCTCTTTCGGTGGATGCATATCTAACAAAGATACGTTTGAGTACTCTTAGATCTAATTTTTCTATATTTTGGTTGTGAATGCTAGCATAGGCGATGCACCAAAAGATTTTGGGTGTGAGGTTGTTAAGAGTTTTAAATTCAAGGTAAAAAGAGGATATAATATCCATTTGTGTTTTTAGTTCCAAAGTTTTTGAAGGTAGTCTATTTATGAGATATGTGGCAGTCAGAAGGGTTTCTCCCAGCAGGATTTGGGTACATTATGGTGGAATAAAGTGACATGTGGAAACAAGGTGGCCATTTTTTCTTTCTGCAACTCTGTTTAGTTGTGTGGTGTGAATGCAGAAAGATTCAAGAATGATTCATTTCTTTTAAAATGAGGATAGGGTTTGGTAAAAGCAATCTTTGATATTGTTAGAATGATTTTTTTTTTTAAAATGCCAAATTGGTTTTGGATCATGGTGTGAAAAATGGGGAGGATAGTGTAAGGGTGTCAATTTCGGGTCACGGGTCAGGTTCGGGTCGAATTTGAAACTGACCCGACACTATTTGGGTCAACCCGAACCTGACCTATTTTTACAAATAGGTCGGTTTTTCGGAGTCGAACCAGACCCGTTTCGAGTCTGGGTTAACCCAACATCACCCGAATGACCCGGTGCTAGCAAAAAATTGCTAGTTTTCGGGTTCAAAAATGGACCAATCTCCGCTTTTCGGGTAAAAATGGGTTATCTCGGGTTGTCGTGTCAAAATCAAATTTTTGGGCCAAAACAGGTTAATTTCGGGTCAACGGGTCAACCCGATTTCGACCCGATTTTTGAAATGGGTTGAAATGTTTAACCCGACCCTAACTGAAAATTTTCGGGTCGGATTCGATGCGAATTTTCAAGTCGTGTCAAATATTGACACCCCTAGGATAGTGCCAACATCAGATTTATTTTTAAGTGCAATCATCAATAAAGAATGCAAATCAGCGGGCCCCTAAGATGTTAGGGATTTTTTAGGGTCCCCAGATATCAGTATGATAAGGTAGGAGGTATGATATTTCTCATTTTTGTTTGGAAAAGAAACTCGTTTATGCATGACTAACTCACATGTTTCACAATGAAAATATTTATTTTTTAACTTATAAAGAAGTTTTGGATATGCATTTTTTAAGGCATCAAAAGATGGATGTCCTAATTTTAAATGATGAAGCCAAATCGTAGGTTTTTTATTAACTAGAGATAACATAGAATAGCCTTTATTGATAATAATTGATTTGTTCAATTTTTTCAGGTAGTACAGTCCATCCCTTAGCAATTCCAACCTTCTTCCTTGTTCTCTAGTCCTTAAATGATCAACAAGTAGGGTTAAATAAGACTTGACAATTATAGTCACTAGTAATTTTTTGTATGGAGATTAAGTTTGTGGATAATTAAGGTACATGGAGCTCATTTTTTAGAGTGTGTGAGGGAAATAAGGGGATGTCTCGTTGGCCTTCTACAGTGATAAGAGAACCATCAACAATGATGATTTTCTTATTACTCGGACATGGAGTGTAATTCATGAAGTGGGTAAAGAAGTGTGTCATGTGATCTTTGACTCATTAGTCAATGATCCCTAAACCTTTCAAATAATTTTTAGAGGCACTTAATCCAATGGATATCAGAAACCTACTTGAAAGTGCAAGAGAAGAAGATATATGTCATTTTTCAAGGGATACCAGGAGTTGTTTTAGCTCATCAATATCTTTTTTGTTGGGCTCTTTGCAGTTGGACTACATTTCTTGGTTGGGCTTTCCATGTAACTTCACACATGTCTCCTTTGTGTCTTGATTTCTTGTAATAACTGCACCAAAGGGAATCATTGTCTTTAAATTTTGAGGAATCCTTATCTCATTCTTTCCATGACGCCTCTTTGGTTGTCACCATTGCTAAATCTTTAACAACCTTTGGTCCCAACATTACCTCTCGTCAACTTTCCTCATCGTGAATGAGAGAAATTGTCTCCTCTTTGTCTTTGCTAAGGATCTGAACTCTAAATTGATCAAACTCCGCATTTAATCCTACAAGAAAGTCATACACTTTATCTTTCTTAATAAAGATTTTCAGGATAGCAGCATCTTCTGAATATTTGGTCTCTATGAATCTGTAGTGATCAAGTTCTTGCCACAAGCTTTGCAAAATAGTGACATATTCCATCATAGTCTTGTTTCCTTATTTTGTGCTTCCTACCTTTACCTTAATCTCGAAGATTTGAGTAGCATCCTGAGCTTTTGAGAATGCTTGCTTGGTGGCAGAACATATGTCCTTTGCAGCTGAAATGATCATGAAAATATCGCTAATTTTTGAAGTCATGGAATTCCACAACCATAACATAATCATGGAGTCTGCTTCATCCCATGTACAATAACTATGATCTCCTTCTTTTGGTCCAACCACAAGGAGATGATTCATCTTTCCTTTCCCTTTTAAATAGGTCTTCACAAATTGAGACTAGTTCAAGTAATTCTTCTCATTTAAGAGATAGGAAGGTTGCATATTTTGGAGATCTTTTCTTGGTGCATAATAGAGTCCTCAATTTGGTCAATGCTTTGGGAGGAATTAGCTTCAAACATTGCGGCGGCAAATGGTAGTCATGAAGGCTATATTAATCATGCCAACAAGGTGTAGGGCAACAATGAAGGTTGTGTTTCTTATACAAGTGGTAGAAATAAGCAAAGGCTGGTAATGAAGGCATTATAGCTGAATAAAAAAATTATTTTAGGGTTGCAGCAGGCTTCAGGGATGCACAAGAGGCTCCAAACTTCAACTGCTTGCCTCTTCTTGCTTGGTTCGGTCCATACACGTGTACGAGAGGCAAGTATCGATCCAGACGCTCATATGAAGAGGTCCTATGCTTGGCTCCTTTGTCTGATCCTCTTCGGTACTCGGATTGGCCCCAGGCTTGCACTCATATGGCCTTTGCTCGCTCAAAATCCTCAAACGCTTGATCAGTTTCAGCCGTACATTGGAAGAGCTTTTGATACTCCGTCGATTTCCGTTAAGATGGGTCGCAGGCACGCGAGGGGAACCACTTGCTCGGCCCCACTGCATCCGTTCTTCTCCTTTACTTTTTAGCCCCCATGTAGGCACGTACTAGAGAGTACTCTCGTTTTCTGTCTTTGAAACCGAAGAAGATCCTCACATAGGGAGCAAAAAACGTAAATCCTCACCGACAATGACGGCCGGTGGTGGGACAATAGGAAAGCCGATTATGTATCTTTAGGCTCCAATACATGTTAAATTCAGAGAATTGGATGGACAATTGTTTCCCCTATCTACTTATATATATATATATAATATATATATATATAATATATATATATATATATAATATATATATATATATATATATATATTACGATCAATTTTAAATTTGAATATGCCTTTCTGATTTAAATCACTTTTTTCTTTAATCTGTTATGAACTTATGATTGAAATCACTTGTTTCTTTTAATCTCTTCCGTTTGAGAAGGCCATCCTTAATTTTATTAATTAATTTTATTTTAAGTGTACTTTATGTAGATTAATGTTAAATCTTTAGCATGACATATATCATTTAGGGTTTCATTTAGATCTGGACACCTTGATGAGTTTTTTGTTCTCCTATTCTCATATTGGAATCATTAGTTCTAGAACTTTTCTTTTGCAGATTGATTGCGACAAATCCATAATGGTGTCTTTTAAGCATGATGATAAATTCCAGGAGGGGTCGGAGTGTGCTTTTCAGGTACTTGGAGCGAATTTCGATCAGTTGCTGCTTGCCAGCTTATTCTGTCTGACATTTTGATAACTCTACTCACTTGCTTAATTCCATTTTACCGTTTTATCATTTCCTCGAAAACTTTCAAGCATGGTACTTGTCTAATTATATTTTTCAGTGTGCACTGCTTTATACTACAATATATGGGCAAAGAAGGATTCGAGTTTCAAATCTCTCTCTTCCGTGCACAACTATGCTTGGAACTCTATTTCGTTCAGCAGACTTGGATTCACTGTTGACTTGTTTTTTGAGACAGGGTAACTTATTCAATTTTTTTTTTCATGTCCTGTTTTTATTTTCTAACATTAACATAATAATTCTATCTTTGTTTGCTCCCATGAAAACAAACACACACATATACGTAAATTATATGTTGGTGCTGGGGATAATGAGTGATTATTGCTTTTTAAAGATTCATATGTTGGTGCTGGGGATAAAGAGTTCAAAGTCCATATTTTAAAGAAACCCTTAATGTAGTTATTACTTTTTTTACTAAATTAAATGATCAAAATGATTCTTATATTTTTTGTGGGTGACCATTTTAGTCTTTGCCTATCAAGTGTCCAATTTATTCCATTGACCCTTCAAATATGGTCCAAAGTGGTTCAATTGATAGAATCGTTGTTTTATTTCATAAAAATCCACACAAAATTCAAGGTGGGAAATGAAGGTAATTTCGAAAGAGAAAGTTTTAATACTTCTTGATTTGCATGAAATATTCATGTTCGACAGCTCCCATGAAAATTTTATCAAATTAAATAATTATTTTAACTTTGGGAGTATTTTGGATTATATTTGAAAGTCAAGTGACTAGATTGGGCTTTTTTACCAACAAATAGTCAGTGGACCTTTTTTACCGTTCTATTTTTTTTAATTTACAATCTGATTTATGTGGTGAAACTCGTCTTCGGAGAGGTACTTTTTTTGCAAGTGCGCTAAACATTTATATTTGGTCTTGTGGCTAAATTGGAACACGACAATTGTTCTATGGATAGAAAATGTTCTGCCATAATTTGATCCACTTTGATGGTTGTCATTATTGTTGAAACGGCCTTCATCCTTTTGCCATGGCTCTAGCCTAATTGAATCCACTTCAATGATTCCTTTATCATTCTTCATGGCCTTCGCATCACCACCTACACATCCGAGGAATTGCCCTGATTTCAACAATGACTGGCTCAGCCATGAGATCCTATCATGGATGGAGATGATGAGTTTTTCAACTGCTGTATGCGGGATCTATTCGTAGATTGAAGACGTTTGTCTATTGTTGGCCAAACTTCATGACAGGCCTCTAAGTTGAGGACATATGGAAGCAGTGAAGGGGAGATAACTGAGTAAAGTGCAGCAGTGATGTTTTGATAAATAAGTACCCACTGACTATATGCAGGATTAGGAGAAGGAAGATTGTTGTTCCAATAATGTATTTGTTGGGAGAAGAGACCGAACCACTAGAAACCCGTAGAAACCATGGGCTTTGAAGACTTTAGAAACCTGTGCTCTCCCTATAGGGTGATTGTCTGAAGTGAGAGGAGAATGAACAACATTTAATGTTGTTCATGAGAAATTTGAGTGAACCGGGAATTTGAACTTCAACCATTGAACTGTAGCTAGAGTTGTGAGCTGGTGAAGCTGTAGATGAGGTGGTCTAGGACGTCATTAGGGAATATACCAGAAAAAAAATTACCAGTCCTGTAGCAGTAAATGTGATGTAGAACGGGTAAAAAAAAGGGGACATTTGAAATTTGAATTTCTTGCTTTAATTGAGATCAAAATATAAGGAATAATTAAATCAAATCAAATACAATTAGAAAGCTAATTAGATTTAATTTAAGTAACTTAACTAAAATAGGCTATCTTAAATTAGGAAAGTATTTCAAATTTAAAATTACTTAGAATTTGAAATCAAATATTTTCCTAACTTAAATCATTTGATAAAAGGAAAGTAATCAAAGGGGAATTCAAATTTTTGGGGCAAAGAGGAAGAAGGGGAATTTACTTCCAATTGGAGAGGTTCCCTATTGGAAATAAATTATTTAGAAAGGACTATGGATAAATTCAGTAAAAGGAGGTGGGAGAGATTTGAATTGTTTCCAAAGTGGAGAAGAGAGTTTTAGGAAACAATTCCTAATCTCATTCATGATTTGGGGGGGGGGGGGCCGGCGGGTATAGGGAGGGACGGCGGCTATAGAGAGGGATGGAGGAATTAATGAGGCGTTTAATACCTACTTAAATTAATAAACTAAGTTTGGAAAGAAATATTTCCTCCCTTCTTAATTTAAAATTTAAATAGGAATTGTTTTAGTAAGTTTCCTAAAATAGGATTTTGTAAATTAAGTAACTTTTTCAAATTCAAATTAATTTGAATTTAATCATGAAGAGAGTTACCAAAATTATGAAATATATTTTAGGAAGGTTATGGATCACGTGAAGAAGGGGGAGGAGCGAAGGGTGGCCGGCGGTGAAGGGGTGGCCGTGGATGAAATAGGAGGTTGGGGAAACTATGTGGCCGACGGTCAAGGGAGGAGGAGAAAAGGATTTAGGGAAAGAAAGATTCTTCGCTCGAGTCCGAATACATCCTGCAGCTGACTGGTATTACGTTGCCCTTTACCAAGGGACTTCAAGTCACGAGCCCAGACCCATCTTGCAGCTGGTGGAAGCTATGAATTCCTCCCCTAGGAATCTCACCCAAGTTTTCTCCAAAGAACACAGGTGCAAACAAAATTTCTTTTCTTAATAATTCATCATTACATTACACAAACAAGGGCCTCTATATATAGGCCTAAGAAACTAAAACAAGACACATATGTCCCTAGGGCTTACATAGGACGACCCTCTTAAGTAAGGGTAAAAAAGAAAAAAATTCATAAAAAAAAAATTACAAACAACAAATTAAGATAAGGTAGAATGATCTCGGCTGTCAATTGTTGTCTCCTCCTTTGACAATCTTCATGATCGGATGTCCGCATCATTCTCCCGGGGTGGAAAAGAGCTCGACTCCATCGAGTCCGCACTCCAGGTAACCATGCTTTGATACCAAACTGATGTAGAATGGGAAAAAAAAGGGGGACATTTGAAATTTGAATTTCTTGCTTTAATTGAGATCAAAATATAGGGAATAATTAAATCAAATCAAATCCAATTAGAAACTTAATTAGATTTAATTTAAGCAACTTTCCTAAAATAGGCTATCTTAAATTAGGAAAGTATTTCAAATTCAAAATTACTTAGAATTTAAAATTAAATATTTTCCTAACTTAAATCATTTGATAAAAGGAAAGTAATCAAAGGGGAATTCAAATTTTGGGGGCAAAGAGGAAGAAGGGGATTAATTTACTTCCAATTGGAGAGGTTCCCTATTGGAAATAAATTAATTAGAAAGGACTATGGATAAATTCGGTAAAAGGAGGTGGGAGAGATTTGAATTGTTTCTAAAGTGGAGAAGAGAGTTTTAGGAAACAATTCCTAATCTCATTCATGAAGGGGGGGGGGGGCTGCTGGCAGCTATAGAGAGGGATGGAGGAATTAATGACTACTTAAATTAATAAACTAAGTTTGGAAAGAAATACTTTCTCCCTTCTTAATGTAAAATTTAAATAGGAATTGTTTTTGTAAGTTTCCTAAAATAGGATTTTGTAAATTAAGTAACTTTTTCAAATTCAAATTAATTTGAATTTAATCATGAAGAGAGTTACCAAAATTATGAAATCTATTTTAGGAAGGTTATGGATCACGTGAAGAAGGGGGAGGAGCCAAGGGTGGCCGGCGGTGAACGGGTGGCCGTGGATGAAGTAGGAGGTTGGGGAAACTATGCGGCCGACGGTCAAGGGAGGAGGGGAAAAGGATTTAGGGAAAGAAAGATACAACCGCGAGCCCGAACACATCCTGCAGCTGATGGGTATTACGTTGCCCTTCACTAAGGGACTTCAAGCCACGAGCCCGGACCCATCCTGCAGCTGGTGGAGGCTATGAATTCCTCCCATAGGAATCTCACCCAAGTTCTCTCCAAAGAATAAAAGTGCAAACAAAATTTTTTTCTTAATAATTCATCATTACATTACACAAGCAAGGCCTCTATATATAGGCCTAAGAAACTAAAACAAGACACATATGCCCCTAGGACTTACATAGGACAGGGTAAAAAAGAAAAAAAAATCATAATAAAAAATAAAAATTACAAATAACAAATTAAGATAAGGTGGAATGATCTCGGCCTTCGATTGTCGTCTCCTCCTTTGAAAATCTTCATGATCGGATGTCCGCATCAAAATGCTTTACAGCAGTTGCTCTGATACCATGTAAACTTCCATGCAATTGATAATAATGTTATCAGCAGTTTCTCTACATACCTACTGATAAAGGTAGCAGCTCATCTCTATTTTTCAAACCAGAACCTTCGTACCTTCGTCATCTGCTTTGCTAATACATTTCTATTCTAGAGAAAGAAGCTTCCAGAGTACAGTTCCAGCGATCCATCGCACAATGCCTTGGATTGCTCAGATGTGATCTCCCGTCCTTAGCATATAACAGTTTTGGCAGCTCTGCTTTGCTCTAAATCAGATGGCAGAGTTTGTGGAGCATCATTCGGTTTAGAACTGTCATCATAACCTGATGTGGTTTTAACAGTCTTTATCAAATCCCCTTCTCTTTCTTATCATCCAATGAGCTGAGTTTCTCAATCTTTCCCTCTATTCATTCACTAGGCCACCCCTGCGCCAGATAGGAACCACTTAGTCATCATGATAAACATTTCCTACAAGAAGTTTGAAATTGTACTCATAGTTTAAATTGCGCGGTTAAAGGCCCGCCTTAATTGCAATTAAAAAAAAAACAATGAGGTGTATGACTCATGCTTGTCAGATGAAGCGTGCGCCTCATCGCAATTTTGAAGATGTGTAAGACAAAAATTAATGTATAAGTAATTTTAAAATTTAAATTTATAAACACTTTTTATATAATTTATAATACTATATATAAACTAAACCAAACTTAGAACCACACAATCTCAAACTTTTAGCCGCACACTACCCTTGCATTCGTAACTGATCCTACTATGATGCCATCATTGCTTTGCTGCTGCCGCTTCTCCTTCAACACCTCTCCTTTTGTTGTTGAAAATCCATTTCTTTTGTTTTAATATGAGAAATGAGAGAAAGCAATTGACTACGATGATGATTTTAATGAAGATTTCTAAGTTACGAGTGTAGGATAATTTTAAATTCATAAATTATGACATTAGGCTATTTGTTTTTGTTGAAGTAGGAGTGGAAGAGACTATTTATTTAGTGTTGGTAGCCTTATATAAATTTTAATGGACTTTGATATTTTATGATTTTACTTTAGTATCTTACTTACTTTGATATAATTATTTTACTTTTTATTTCTTTTTTTATTAATTTAATGATTTAATTCTAAGTCTTACACCACCTCACAAAAAGAAAATGTCTTGATACCCAATTGAGTAATTTCAAACCTTGATTGTACTCAATTAATCTTTCTCGCTGTAGCCTTTGGCTATATTTCTCATGGGTGAGATCGTACTAAATCTGACGATCTCATGTTGGCGAGTGCTCATTGGTACGTAAGTTTGAACCTTCATTATTTTTGTTGTTCTTTTGTCAGCTCAAGTTCGTGCCATGGACAGATGGTTGATGAGCATGCATGATTTGCAAGGTTGTTGATCATAGTTGTTGCCATAGCTAGCGGGCCCCACTGTGGTCTCAACTTCAAGCTCACACATGAGCTCACTGCTCTAACAATATAGTTGTTTCTTTTTGTTCCTCTCTTTAAGAAGCACCGAGAGAACTTGCTAGCTAAGAACTTGCTAGCTAAGTTGATGAAGAGTTGCCTAAGAAGGATGTGCCGGCTGAAAATGAGCGGCAGTTTAAAATGTGGACCTAAATGAACTGCATTATTAATTAGATGGGTCTTCCTTCATGTTAATTGTGTTTGCTAATCTTCTGTGCAGGATTTCCTATTTTTGCGGGACTCAAATCTTTAGTCTCTTTAGCCAAGTCATTTGAAATGTTGTCCCCAAAGTGTCCCAGTATTCAAACTCAACTACATTTGTTTTAAAATTCACGATTATAATGGCTATAATAATTCTAAATTTGTTTGGAAGCTTCAAAAGCATTGCATTCTAATGATTTTGAACACTTGTAGTTCATCAAAATTGATATGTGGTGCTATTTCTTTGCCCTAGTCAGGATTTTTGCTTGTGCAGATGTTCATAATGTAGGCAATTAAAACTCAACTACATTCTTTACTGGTGTTGTTTATCATCATATATTTATTTTATATGCTTTTACAATTTCATAAATTAGCATACTTATTTTAATGTCTTTTAATTTTTGTTTGTAAATATTAACTTCTTTTTTTTAATCATAAGCGTCTAGCATCCATTTTAAAATTAAAAAAAAAAATCTACATAATATGTTTTGAATTATCTGAAAGTGGCTGTTGTTGATTTTCTGCAGCTGCAACTGCTATCCCAACTAGCCCTCTTTCCCAAGTCCGTGAACAAATTATGAACCTCTGCGTCAACATCCTACACTCTTACCGCAAATTCTGTGCTACTGTGTCAACACCCGGCCAACTTATTCTACCAGAGTCAGTTAAGCTTTTACCTTTATATACCCTAGGTATTCCATCTTTTGCCCTTGATTTTTGTTGTAACTTTGTTTACATTAATCTTTTAAGTATATTTTCTGATGCTGCTGTGGGTGGATTTGATTTGTTACTATTGTTTTGTTTATATATTCAAACATGCTGCTACCAAGATGTTAGCATGATTTTGATATTCCAATAGGAAGTCTAATGAACTGTGAAATTACTTTTTTTTCTCTTTTTTTTTCCTTATTTGGGTTAAGATGATGCGTAGGATGCTTTTATGTAAAAGAACATAGAGAATTTATAGATAACCAAATGCATAATTACTTTAATAACTTGCCTTTTTGAATTGAAAACAGGAGATACTAAAGTTTCAGCTTAATTGAGAATGAAATAATCTTGACAAGAATTTTTAAATAAATAAATCAACAAGTAAATGAATAAATTTTTTGAATATGAGATTCTTGATGTAACTTTCTAGCCAAAATCAAAAGCACTAAATTAGTCAATATCAAAATATGTAGATGATATAGATCAATGAGCGAATTTACTAAAGAATAGGACTTGTGTTAGTATCATGAGATGATTTTTATAAGAATCAAAGTTGTTGCATTTGTACCATACTTCAATAGGTTATACATCGAACTACTAATAAAATGGAAAAGAAAATGAAAAACTCATGCAAATCAAAAGTTGTAAATTATATGCCTAGGATTACTATTTATAAACTCATGCTAACCCAAGTTTGTAGATAAGGTTGTCACATGATCAATCTCAATTTCAGTTTAAATTAATTAAAAAAAAAGTTTTCAATTTAATTTAAATTTGATAACCATTGAACTTTTAACCTTTCAGTTTAAAATTCCCAATTCCAAGGAATAGTAGCAATTGCAGTCACACACTCACTGTGAAAACCACACGCAGTTCTCACCAAAACTTTATCATCACCCCATTTAAATTCTTTTTTTTTTCTCTTCAAGTTAAGTCCAAAGCAGCACAACCTATGCATCCTAAAGGCAGATTTTCTTCTTTTTCCCCGTTTTATGATATGAATAATGCCATAAACTATCACCTTGGCCTCAATCACCACAATCACCACATCAATCTACCTGAATCGAAATATTTGACTTCGATGAATTAGACAATTTACATAATCTTTTGTGAAAATTAATCCATCCATGGTTCTCTAAACAAAATATAATTAATGAAATGAACAAATTTATGAAAAGAAAATGCATAAGATGCACAAAAAATATTTCTTGAAGTGATTCAAAGATTTCCATCAAATCTAATTGATTTCTACAGATTTTCTTTGATGAATTTAGCATTCAATATTCTTATGAAGCAAAATTTGGAATAAGTTCTAAGCCTCCTATAGAGTATCCTGAATCATTAGTCAAATTCGTCTTACCAATAAGTTACAAATATTTGTATCCTCTTGCAATACTTAACAAAATCTCATCATCCATAATAACATTAGGGATAAGCTAACTAGAAATTTGTGGATGAGGATTGGATGTGGACTTACAAGAAGTTAAAAAAAAAGTAAAATCCAAGAAATTAGCAGTAGGTTAATGAATTTTTGTCAAATTTAAGACATCGAAAATTGAATTTATTCCAGAAGTTTTTGAAATTTTCAACTTATAGGTGTTAGTTCCCGATGTCGCGCTCTGCTACAGCACTAACTTGAGTGTGCTATATAATTTTATTAGTCTTTCATTCTTTTCATTCGGCTTCTTAAAGGCTTTTGTTAGAAGCCTTCTTTTATTTAGATGTACCATTTTTTATTTTTATTTTTATTTTTATTTTTTTATTTAGATGTACCATGATTACGAGTAATTATGGCGACTGTAAAATTTTTGCTGATGTAAATAGGAAGCATCAAAACTTTAAACCTGATAAACCCTAACACTAACTTGAGTGTATTATATAATTTTATTAGTCTTTCATTCTTTGCATTCGACTTCTTAAAGGCTTTTGTTAGAAACCTTCTTTGATTTAGATGTACCATGATTTTATTTTCTGGTTTAAAGTTTAGATGCTTCCTATTTACATCAACAAAAATCTTGTAATTGTCATAATTACTTGTAATTTTTTTTTCATATAGCCCGATATAGATATGCATTGCCAATAATAACGTAAATATGTTTGGCTTATATTCTATAGGTAGTTTAATAAGATCTATTAACTTTTTTGGTTAATACCTTATAACAATCTAATATGGGCTGGTGCACGTATACCAAAAAAAACTCAAATTCCTTCTTTTGGTCACATCAACAACTATGTTGTGACCATCATAATTAGTAGCCGTTCTGTGAATATCCTTCTATAGATTTTGCATATAATGCATAAATGGTTTTGAAATTAGCTAGGACTAGGTTCTATAGGTCGAGAAGATCTATAGATTTTTTAGGTTATTTACAATAATCTCAAATGGACTCTTGTTTATATATTTATTGACATATGAATCGTATGTACACTCAAGCAATGTCAAATCCCACCCATATGAGTGATCTTTTATCTAACAATGTAATAGAGTAAGCTTTTTTTGACAACTTTAGGCTGATCATTAATTTGTAGGTTATAAGAATTTGAAAATTTAAGTAATGTTCTCATGTTTTTCTTAAGATTAATTCAAAAAAGTAGGTCATGAATTTCACATCTCAAATAGAAATAAATTTTTTATATAATTTTGGTAATTTAAGCACTTCTTTAAAATACAGTCTAGCAATATGAAGTGCATCAATAGTTTCTTCACATTGTATGAAATATGTCATTTTTGGAAAATCACATATCACTACAAAAAATGCATTCTTAGCATCCATGGTAAATCTAAGTCGATCTATATCAATGCCCTCCTAGGATTTATATGAAATTGGTATGATGTATAAAGCCATACGATTTGTTTATTTTAGCAAAACAAACAAGTTCTATATTATGAAACAATTCATGCTACGCCTCTTTTTATACTTGATCAGAGATGCCTCTAACGTTTAATTCTAAAATTAGGAATTCCCTTAAAGATGAATCAATAATGTAAAAACAGTACCTTAAATAAATAAGTATACTTAATAATATAGTTTTTGCTAAGCAGAAGTAAAGCATAGTTTAAGTATTGATAACTCCAATATTCTTAAAACCGAGACATACTCATCTCCTCTTTTATACAACAACAAAAAACCATTATACCACTCGTAGTACGGCTACATGTATCCTTTTCCTCCCATACTCTTTTTTTATATGATCATAAAATAATTTATTATCAGATTCATCATAATATTTAAGAACAATATTTTTATAGATACACAACCCAATATTTTGGAAGATTCATAATTGCAAAAGCATCAACAATTTGGCATGTCAACGACATAACCTTTTTTCTTTACTTTTTTTTTTTAATTTTATAAATTTAGGCATTTTGAAGTTCTTAAAACTTGTTAAGTATTAGATAATGCCTCCAATATAAACAATTGTTGTACCATGTCAGGAAAATTCCCTAGCATAGTTAGAATATATTTTGGCACAAAACTCCAAATATCTGTTTGTTCAATTGAGTTGATCTTATGCCAACAACTAAAATAGGAGCTTATCCAATCTAGTTTGGTAATTCTTAATTTGGCTGATGCAAAAATTTAGTGCCTTTATATTGATATGCGTGCTAACAATTAATTCTATCACAGTTGGCAATTTGGCACTTAGATCATCTCCAAACAAACTGAAAAATAGGTGTTTGTAGTTCGTCTCACGCTCCACCCAAACGCCATTTACAAACACATTTTAGTGACGTGAACAGTGCGACGTCATATTGGCGTCGCACTATATTGACATCACACTGATCACAAACGCATTTTTTTTAATCATGAAATGGTGGAAGGAGAGTAAGTCGAGCAATTCTCGGTGGATTTTTGTTAAGAAAGAATATAATATTCTTTTTTTACGCTAGAAATGGAGTTCGGTTAGAGATGAGTCACTTCATTTTGAAGTGAAAAAAGAGTTTTTCAGTTGGAGATGCTCTTAACACTGTAGTTTCCATTTTATATTGTTTTTATTATTGTAATTTATTTGAAGTTGCATATTTTGTGGTAATTCAGTAGCAGGTGCTCACAACAGTTTTTATTTGCCTTATGCTAGCGTTATCAAAAAGCACTGGCTTGCGGAATGATGGACGGTTGGATGAGCGGTCCTATTGGGCCAATCATGTTGCGTCCCTTTCTGTGTCACTTGCTGTTCCCTGGGTGTATCCCAGAATGATATCCATCCATGACCTAACTTCAAAGGTATGATTAATAAAAATAAAACATTAAACTTGATGAAGAACTGTTTATTCTTTTTAATAGTTAAGATTTGATTATTTTGAAACAACCTTTTTGTTGTTGACCCTACAGGAAAACAATGACCCCATACTATCTTCTATACTTCCTCTTTCTTCCGCCAATTTAAATGATGATGGGATTTATCTCCTGGAGAATGGTGAAGATTGCCTATTTTATGTTGGAAACATGGTGAACTCAGAGATTCTCCAACAGATATTTGGAGTAACCTCTGTTGATGGACTCCCAACACAGGTAAGCAGCTCTGATCCTTCTCCAGCACATAAGAAAGGACTTGTCAGAGAATAGTTGTTATATATAAACAGAGCTTCTCTACTCATTCTTATCTATAGTTGTTTGCGTTTTTATTGTTTCTATTTCCATTCTACATTCACTCTATTCTATTGTCCACTAACAGTATTCGAATGTGCTTTTCTAAGATTCCCTCATGAGTAACTTCATGTCCTCATTCTTCAAGTCCCTAATCATTATGCATTTCATTTTGATTCGGTGAAAATAGTATATATAGATAGGTTCAGGGAATAATCCTTAGTTTCTTCTTTTATATAAAAAAAATTCTTAAGATTTAATATTTTTAATCAAATTGAGCCAACTACGAGCCTAGTGAGCTCAATTAAATTAAAACAATCCATACACAAATATGATATTTGCGAGCAATTTTGAGCAAGAGCCAAACAAACATAAATTTAAACGAGCCGAACAAGGACAAGCCCGGAATTCGCTCAAGCTTGGCCTTGCTCATAAACTCTTATCCAAGAGCGCCAAGAGCCAAACAAACATAAAGTTTTAGTGATATCACCCTAATTCCTGAAAGGACTTCTTAGGCAAGACAAAGTAGAATCCTAAATGACTAAATTTTTAATTATGAGTTGGTTTCATTTTGAGGCTTTTGACGCCTGCTAGTATATAGGAAGCATTTATATTTGTTTTATTTGATGCTTGCTTAGCTGGGAGAGTTCAAGCTAGAATGCTTAGGAGGATAGCAATCAATAGTCGATAATAAGGGACTATGTACATTCTCTAGCAAATTAGATAATTGTATGTACGGATCTCTTCTGGTTAGTTGTGGTGACTAGTTAAATACAAATCACTTAGGTTGGAAGTAAAAAAACTGGGAGATGTTCTATTCATACAGGAATAAGGCGTAGTCCATTATCTTGATCTTAGCTGATTTTGGTTTCTTGCTTCTTCCCTCTTTCAATTTTCCACTTCCATTAATTAGGTATTAGAATCTTTTCATCTGAATCCATCTTTCACATCCTCACTCACCTCTGCAGAGTTTCAGCTTATCCTTTCTTCTTTCAACATCTTTCATCAATTTCTTATCCGAACATCTTGTCATTTTTCATTCTACATCACACCAACAGTAGGTCGATTTTGCAAAAAGCGGCAGATGGCTGGCTAGTGGTCGATGGAGGTTGCAAGGTGGCCAATAATGGTGCTGAATTGATTTTAGTGGTGTTCAATAATTTGGTAACGGTGAGGCTATTTCAAGATCTAATGGCGAGGGCATTTTGATCATTCAGCTACTAGTAATGGTTTGGTAGGAAGTAGCTAAAGGAATTTGGTATCAAGTTTGTAAAAACAGGGAATATGAAAGTTGAGAGTCCCATTTATTAGCAGGCCCAGCGCAACAATATGTAATTTTGCTGAGGAAAAGAAATTGCTTGATGCCACCTCATTGATCATCAGTACTAGTTGCTATTTTGTGTGCAAAGAAAAAATTTTGCGATCAAGAACAATCTACTAAGGAAAACAATACCTCTTATAATCTAGTTATTATGGTTAGAGTTCTATGTTTGCACCGATACACCCATTTATGAAGGCGTGTTGTATCTAATACATCGATAAGCCTCCGATACATGTCGGATACGACTTTGCCGTATCCAATTAAAATACTATTTAATTTAAAAAGGACACGCATCCGATACGTGTGTCCGTTGAAAAAACAAAAAATTCCAAAAAAAGACACCTAGTCTTTACTTTTGCGGTTGCGAGCGAGGTTTTCTCATTTCCGAGATGGATTTGAGTTTCTTGATGATATGAAAATATTAGAAATTGCTAATCTTTCACTTGATGAGCCTGAATTAGAAGCTATGATATTTAATGAAGATGATATAGAAGTTTAAAGACAAACAACTGAAGAAGCTAATCATATCATTCCTTCTATCAAAAAGTTGAAACTTCATGTGCTAGACAATATATGTTTATGCTTTTGTTGTTGCACCAGACATTTAATGCTTACTTTTATTTTGATATTATAAGCTACAACGCTACAAATGATGTTACTTTCTTTTTTTTTTTGTAATTTCAAATATTATGCTTTGATTCATTTCTTAATTTTTTATGTATGATTTATAAATTATAATACCGTGTTTGCGCAGTACTCGTATCCTGTATTTTTAAGAATTGATGTATCCCGTATCCGTATCGTTGCAACATAGGGTGATGTAGACAAGGGGGGGGGTCAACTCAAGCCCAAAATAATTTGATTTTTGGCTTCCCTCGAGTTTACAAGCTCAATCAAATTTGAGCTGGAATTTAGCTCATTTATGAGCTGGTCTTTAGTTCACTTATTGAACTAAGGGTTAGCTCATTATTAGCTAAGTTTTAGTTCATAGTTATCTTTAATTAAATGTAATTTTTATTATTTTTATGTCTTTAATTAAGTTTGTCTCTTGGAATTCCAAAAGGCTTTTGGAATTCCAAGAAGTTTTGTTTCCCATACCATGGCTCCTTGGCTTCCACGGTGGGCTGCTGTTTTCCATGCATGGCCCCTTGGTTCTCACGGTGGCTATTGGTTGGGGGGGTGTGTGTGGGTGGGGGGGGGGGGGGGGGGGGGGGGGGGGGGGTTCTCATGGCTTTGGCGCCTCGGTTCCGTGCGGCTTCTTTGGTTCCCGTGGTTTCTCCTTCGGTTCCTGGGCTGGGCTGTTTTTCCGTGGAAAGCATGGGGGGATTTACGTGCTTGTGTTGCTTGTATTCTTGTGTGAATTCAATGTCGTGTCCTTTTATATTCCCCCTTTCATACCTATAAATATAAGGGGGTTGTTATGTTTTAAAAAAGAGAATGATAAGTTATTTTTGGAAGCTATAATCTGTGAGTTTGCTTGGAGAAGCTTGCGAGCTTTGTCCATCTTCTTTTCTCATCCCCTCCAGAAATCTTGCGAGATCTTTCCACCCTTCTTCTCGGCTTCTAACCTCTTTCATCTCTCCGCAAGTTTACACCCCACCTGCATCATTCTTCTCTAAGTGAAGCAAGTTTAGGGTGTCTTTGATTTCGATTTGAGTTTAAAAGTCGTTTAATTACAATTTGTAGTTGCCGGTTTGTTTGTTTTAATTTCTAAGTTTGTCTTAGATTTGAAATGTAAGAGTTTGTTCTTCCGCTCGTCGTATTCTCCTCTTTTTGAGCGCGTCATGTCTTCCCTCCCCTTTTGTGCCGGCGGAGGTCCTCGGGTGCCCCATCCCTTGGATTTTTTACCCGCATCATTTGGTATCAGAGCAAGTTAGGAAATTCTAGTTTTTAGATTTGGTTGTCAAGTTTTGTTTTGTCAAGTCAAGTCAAGTTGTGAGTCTTGTAAGTCTTGTAGTGAGTTTTATTGTGAGTCTAAGTTTAGGTTATGTTTTTTTAGTCTTTTTTGATTCAGTTAAAAAATGGAAAATAACAAAAAAATTGGATTTATTCAAGGAGGAAATCAATTCAGATAATCCTGATGTCCCTCTTCTGTTGGACAGATGGATTCCTATAGAAGGTGATTCAACAGATCCGCTTCAAGATCGTTTATACAAGCTTCAATATCACATGTTCTTATGTGATCAAAAATTCGAGAAGTGGAAGAGATATCTACAAAGGCAATTCGAGAAAAAGCAGGAAGACATTTTAAAGAAATTTGAAGAAAAGATCAAAGAGCTAGATGCACCATCTTCACCTCCTCAAGGTAATCAAAAGCTAACTCATCGGGAGATGAGTTCTCAAGAAGGGGAGTTTAATGTAGACAAAGGGGGGTCAACTCAAGCCTAAAATAATTTGATTTTTGACTTCCCTCGAGTTTACAAGCTCAATCAAATTTGAGCTGGAATTTAGCTCATTTATGAGCTGGTCTTTAGTTCACTTATTGAACTAAAGGTTAGCTCATTATTAGCTAAATTTTAGTTCATTGTTATCTTTAATTAAATGTAATTTTTATTATTTTTATGTCTTTAATTAAGTTTGTCTCTTAGAATTCCAAAATGGCTTTTGGAATTCCAAGAAGTTTTGTTTCCCATACCATGGCTCTTTGGTTTCCACGGTGGGCTACTGTTTTCCGTGCATGACCCCTTGGTTCTCATGGTGGCTGTTGGTTTTCTGAGCTGGGGGGTTTTTTCCCGTGGCTTTGGCGCCTCGGTTCCGTGCGGCTCCTTTAATTCCCGTGGTTGCTCCTTCAGTTCCTGGGCTGGGTTGTTTTTCCGTGGAAAGCATGGGTGGATTTCCGTGCTTGTGTTGCTTGGATTCTTGTGTGAATTCAATGTCATGTCCTTTTGTATTCCCCCTTTCATACCTATAAATATGAGGGGTTTCTTATGTTTTAAAAAAGAGAATGATAAGTTATTTTTGGAAGCTATAACCTGCGGGTTTGCTTGGAGAAGCTTGCGAGCTTTGTCCATCTTCTTTTCTCATCCCCTCCGGAAATCTTGCGAGCTCTTTCCACCCTTCTTCTCGGCTTCTAACCTCTTTCGTCTCTCCTCAAGTTTACACCCCACCTGTATCCTTCTTCTCTAAGTGAAGCAAGTTTAGGGTGTCTTTGATTTCGATTTAAGTTTAAAAGTCGTTTAATTACAATTTGTAGTTGTCGGTTTGTTTGTTTTAATTTCTAAGTCTGTCTTAGATTTGAAATGTAAGAGTTTGTTCTTCCGCTCGTCGCATTCTCCCCTTTTTGAGCGCGTCGTGTCTACCGTCCCCTTTTGTGCCGGCGGAGGTCCTCGGGTGCCCCATCCCCCGGATTTTTTGCCCGCATCATAGGGTTATATAATTTAAGTATGTCTAATATTTTATCATTGCATCAAAATAATAATTAATTAGTTATAACTCAAAATTCTTTGTAATTTCCTTTTCAATGAAAAACATTATGTAAAAATATCTATACATAATTTACGTCAATATTGACTTAAGAGCCCTTGGATTAGTGTTGAGATTGCTGCTTATATGTGATATCATGAATTGTTCCTTACGCAAATTTTTACCCTTTTCAAGGTGTTAT